ATGTGGTTGGACCTTTAGGCGCAAATGTTGTCTGGCCTTATTCGGAAATCAAAAGATGGAGGCTTGGATGTAATCGATATTTACGTTTTCTGGAACTTGCATGAATCAACTTGAAATCAGGTTTTCTCTCTTTTCCAAATTTTTTTATTTTATTTCAAATTATTGATTTGATTTTGTTACAAATTTCTAAATTTTGTTTTGTGGATTTGCTATTTTGTTTCTTTGTTGTGGCAAATTTCATATGCTCTACTTATTTTGTTTCTTTATTATGGCAGATTTCAAGTGTTCGTGATTGGATAAGCAGGCATTTTACTTGCACGTAGTTGCCTTTCGACTATGTTTTCCAATGGTGAGTTTATGAGTTGTTTTGGATTACATCTAAAGTTTTCTCTTCGGCTACCATTCAATTAGTTTCCTTCCAACCTTTTTTTTTTTTAACATTTTAGGATCATATTCAAGTCTGTGGTAGCTTTTTTTTTTTATTGTATATATGATGCACAAGTGTTTGTTGTTTTTAAATCTGGGCATTGTGTAGAGCGATGGTATGCTGCGATCAGTTGTGATTTGGAGCAATGGGTCTCTTTGGAACTTTGTGTTAGGCAAAGTTCCAAACTGTCTAATTTATTTGGGTTTTGGATTGGATTATCTTTGGTTTCTTGGTTTTGCTTTGTCTATGTGAGTAAATTGGTTTTGCTTTGCTTTGTCAGATGCGCTATTCATCAACGTTCTTGGTGTTGCGATGAAGCCGAGTAAATTGTTCATCAATATTTGTCGAAGCCATTGATGGAGTTCGTTGTAATGTTTGATGGTTTCCTATGGGGAGTTTTATCTCTACTTTTTGTGGGTATTAATTTTTTAAATTTTATGATTTTATTTTCTGTTGGTTACAACCTCTCTCGAGCCGTTTGTGTATTCAAGAGATTCACTTCCAGAGCTGTCTTTGTTGGTTGATTCAACCAATTATGATATTGAGTTCATTTTTTTTGTTTCTTGGTTCTTTGAGTCTTCTTTAGATTGAACTTCTTGAATAATTGCATTGAAACCATATCGAGTTCAATTTCTAATTTTTTAGTTGTGTTGGTAATTGGGTGGAGTGCTTGGTATTATTAGTTTCGATTATTCATAATCTTATTTTTTTTTAAGGTGACTGAATGTTTTTAAAAATCTCATTTCAAACTAATTTGCTTTGCTTACCTATGATTTGTTTTTTCATTTTTTATTAATTGAAGTGACCGGTAATTGTGAACCTGAAAGCATTGTGATTATCTTCTTGCTTTGGATGAGGGGGAGAGATGTGGTTTGTTGCTTCTAATTACGTGCAGGTATAAAAAAAATACATCTTCTCAGGGGGTTGATGAAGTGAACATTTATTGTACAATTAATGGGAAACAGCTTTGTGGCTATGTGATCGATATTGTTCTGGTATTTCTGTAGCATGTACTGGAGAAGGTAGAGAATTTGTACAAAGTCTGTAAAATAGTTTGAGACAGATGTGTTGAATTGACATCATATGGAGTTTTTAGACTGATTAAAGCTTCAAATTGATTTACCAGAAGAAGAGAAAAATGGCTTCAATTTATACTACATGTGTGGGATGATTTATCCCATCTTTTGCTGGTAGAAAGGTATGTAAATTGTAATGCAGTTGGTTTCACAATGTGAATTCCATTCTCTGTGGACCAGTACACACATTGCAGCTGGTGTTCATAGTTAAATTGAAGCGTCTGACACCCCTACACCCATTGTCAGACAACAGGCGGCTACATCCATGCCTTCAGTTTTTTTTTTTTACCTTCTTCTTCATTTCCTCTTCACTTCTTTCTCTCTCTATGTCAGTGTTACCACCATCAAAGCCACAGCCAGAGCTACTGCCACTACCACTGCTATAGCCAGGTACTCCCCCTCCCCACCCTTCCCCCTCTATGCAAACACCTTCCCATCCATTAATTCCCTCAGTTTGAGTTTGAAGTTTAATTTCAGAAACTGAACCGAACGATATTGAAGCAGGGGAGTTTGATTTGATCATATCTCAAGCGGCGGAGGCAGCGACAGTGATGATTTAGCATCCAGGTAACAAAGTGGAGAGGATTTACTGTTCTGTAAGTGCTCTTGAGATCATGACGTCTCATCACCTGCTGAAACATCACAAATACTCCGAACTTTAGCATTAATTTTAATTTCTATCCCAAACCTTTTTTTCTCGGATTTACTTTTGAAGNACCTTGAAAAAAATGTGTTGTAAATAAGTACCATTATGTTGAAATGTATTATAGAGAGATACACAATGACATTTTTTTTATTCTTTTTTTTACTATAATACCCTTTCCCTATTTTTATAGTGTTTGTATTTTGGCAGTTGCTTTTTATATGAGGATTTGGTTTTATTGATAGGCAGTTTCGTAGTATGAACGATTTTTTTTTTTTTTTTGAACATTTAAATCATCTAAAAACGACGCAGNTTACTTTTTTTTTTGGCAGACATTTTTAATGTAGATGTTGTTTGTTGCTTGATGGTGAAATAAGCAGAGTTTTCCATATTTTTTTTTTATTTATGTTACCAATCTGATTCTCATCTTTATCAACATAATCAACGTTGATTTTGTTTAGAAGTGGCTGTCAAACATATGTTGCTTTATTAGCTGTCTTCAGTGCAATTTTGGACTCATCTCAATTACTCCTCCTGATTAGAGTCTAAACCTCTTTTTGAGTGGTTTCATAAAATATGATTTTGGTAGTCTGATAGTGGGAGTTGAGTTCATTGGTTTGGTGGTTTTTTTTCCCTTCTTTGTCTAGGCATTGGACTGTGTTTATATTACATTGGACTAAATTCGTACACACCTATCACATGTTCGATGAAATTTTTCAAAGAGTTGCGGATGCATCGCTGCCAACAAAAGGGTGACTCTCATCTTTTTTGCACCCTCTACTTGCTATTAGTTTGATGAATTTTATGGGTTTGACGTAGGCCATGGTGTCATGTTGGTATTACTGATAGTATATGTAAATGCTTTTACCTTGCCATTCTTTGTGCTTCTGTGACTGCATGTATGCTTTTAAGTTGTAATGTTACTTGTGGTTGATTGATTGCATTGTAATTACTCGGGATGATTTGGTGTGGAATAATTGTAATGGTTTAAATATAAAAAATTTGAGTAGATTTTGTGTGTTTTTTTATATGATGGCAAACATTTTTGTAGTATTGCTTCAGTAAAATGAAGACACATTCTAATATCCTATGATGTCATTGATGTGATCATCTTATTTGGGTTTGTCGATGACTTCGCCCACCCATCATTGCCATAGCCGAAGTCAAGGTTTAATTTGTGTGAGTTTGATTTTTGTTTTTATGAAATTTGTGAACTGATGTGGTTATTGTTCAGAGCTTCTATGATAAAAATCATTACCACTTCTAAATAAATTTTCTGGGGATCCAATGATGTTTTTTGTCAAATTGCTGGACGAAGGTTTCACGGACAATACTGCCAATCACATGTTAGATTGGTCTTAAAAAATTTTAATGTGGTTGTGTACAATTTTTGAGTTCATGATGTACTAGGTTATTGACTTCTTTATATTCTTGGAGTATTCCTGATTTAATGTAATTTTTTTATTTTTGATTTTAGGTTGTCAAAGTATTTGTTGATGACAACTTTTGACTCTTTTTATTTCACTAAAGTTATGACATTAAAAATGACCAAACGATTTTCAACTTAATGTATGTTTATATTCATTGTTTGATTATTTCGTGTTTAAAAATTATGTACGGTGCCTTTAAACACATGATATAGAGTAATTTATGTTTTTAGTTTAGTACGTGTCTGAATTCAGTGCTTGATTATTTCGCTTTCAAAATCAATGTTAAATTTTTTTTTATTTGCACCGTGTCTTCAGACACGGGTTATCTCTAGTTTTTGATAAAACTAACATATGTACCAAAGAGAACTTCATTTTTGTCTCTCAAATGGAAGTTTTCCTTCATTAGTTTTCTTTGCAAACTGACCTCCAACAACAAAAAGTGATGCATGGTTTAATTTGTTGCTGGTATTAGGCTAAAATTCTCTAGGGAATACAGGAACCAGTAACAACTCATTTTCTTCTTTTTAGCCTTCAAAATTGATTAGAATGATGTACAACATCAAACTTACTTTTCAGAATAGAAAAAAAGTTGCACTAAAGCCCAACCCTCTGAAAACAAAGAGAAAGACAAGTTAATGTGTAGATTTTTGAAGCATGTATATACATCTTCAGCAAATCTACCTGTTGTAGCACACGCACACAGATTCGTCTCGAGAGAGAGATATATATATACTAGCAATGTACCACGTGCGTTGTACATGAAAATTTTCGTTAAAATATTTGATGATATACATAAAAATTTAATTGTACAGTTAAATTAGATATTATTTCATACTTATGAAACTTAAATTGTTTGTATTGTGGATGTAGAGAAAAAGATACATATATCAATTTTTTGGCACCAGAGATAATATTGTATCAATAAAGTTGTCAACGTGTATTAATATTAGAGTTTTGAAAAAAAAAAATAATATTTTTATATATATCCTGTTAAGAGCAATATGAGTTTCGCAGAAATAGAGATTTACATGATATATGTTAATTTTTTATTTAAATATAGAGGGATGTAATGATAATCTATACATTATTTAAATATAAAATGATATGTTAGTTTTTTTAATTTTTTGTAAGAGTAAAATAAAGAGAGCGCGTAATACTGACGGAGAGATAACCCAAAAGTTTAATTGAGTTTTGAATTTTGAATTTTGAATTTTGAAATTTGTGAGATCTTGGAAAAAAGTCTTCACCCGGGTTTCGTGCTAAATTTTCATTTTTTTGGAGTTTTCCCCGTTAACTTTGATGATTGGCTTCTTTCAAAATTCTTCTGACATTTGGCAAGCATTCATTGGACATGTACACCACTTAGGTCAACCACGTGCTGTACGTGGTGTATATTACCCATCTATAAATTTTTCCTTGACTCTAAACAAGCCGCCCTTCTTTCTCTCTCAACCCAGCCGTCTCTCTCTCCTTTCCTCTACCTCTGTTGTGCTATGCCGTGAACCCAGGCAAGAGCTTCGACGAAGAAGAGGGTTCTTCTTGTCGACAGCTGCCCAACGAAGATCCAGATCTCCTCCATCGATTTCTCCCTCCTTGTGAAGGTAAGAGTAACCAGTCTATTAGAATAGATCTATGTATATATATACATAGATCTGTAAATTGGTCTCTTGTATAAGCATATATATACATAGATCTGTATATATATGCTTATACAAGAGACCAACTTACAGATCTGATTATGGTAGTGTGTATGTGTGTGATTGCGTGTTTGTGTGTGTGTGTGGGTATGTGTTTTGTGTGCAGATCTATCACAGATACCCATAATTTTTTTTTTTTAATTTCCCCAAAAAAAAAAACCATTCTTTATGTCATTATTTTCGTGAAGAGTCTGTGTACATATGGAATTTCTTTAACAAACGTTTTTGGTCTGTGTGTCTTGTTTATTTGTTTATCTCAGTACACATAAGTATGTATTATTGTTTATTTGTTTTTTGTTTGTTATGGATGCAAGATCAACGAGGTTGCCTGCTGGATGTAAGGGTTTGCTGGTTTGTGATTTTTGAAGAAGCCTTGCTGCAATTCTATGGGTGGTTGAATGTTTTGAAGGATTAAAGCCATAACTTTGATTTAAATGGGGATTGATTTTTTTTCTAATTTTTTTCGGTTATTTGTTTGAAAAAAAAGTTGAAGTATGAACTGGATTTCGCTTCACACTGTTTGACTTGTATGAGGTATTACATATTTAAGATATAACTTGAAGTAGTTACTAAATATATTTTTTTGTTTTTATTCTCATAATTTGATAAACACAAATGGCTCTCAAATATGTTTTCTGATTCGGTATATACCGACAAAGAAAAAAATTGTTTCCATTTTGTACTTTTTTGAAGACGCAAAAACTAAAATGTTACCAAATCACTAAATGACCCCTACGTTTTGTGCGTAACAAAGCGGTTGATCTCAGACACCACAGACTCTTCGTCCAGCTTTCATGCTTGCTTTCCAATGGCGGCTTATCAATTTCCCTCTCATTCCACTCCTTCCTCAAAATCACTGAAACATCCTTCAAACCCATTTGTCCGTCTCCTTTCTAAAAATCATGGCATCCTCATCAAATCCAGCCCAAGAACAATAAACCTGAGGGCTAAACTGTTCAAAAACCCTACAAAAACCTCAAATTCAGATACACAAATCCAGAACTTTCAGCATTGTTTTACCAAATCTGAAGATGGGTATTTGTGCTGTGAAGGCCGTAAGGTTCAAGATGTCATGGAAACTGTTGAAAGAAGTCCATTTTATCTCTACAGTAAGTCTCAAATCACAAGAAACTTTGAGGCTTATAGAGAGGCTTTGGAGGGCCTGAATTCGATAATCGGGTATGCGATTAAAGCTAATAATAACCTCCAGATTTTAGAGCATTTGAGGAAGTTGGGTTGTGGCGCTGTATTGGTCAGTGGTAACGAGCTTAGATTGGCCCTTCATGCTGGGTTCAATCCCACCAGGTATGCTTGTATTTTGTTTGTTTTTAATCTACTATGAAAAGAGAACAAAATTAAATTCCTTTTTTTAAAGTCATTTCCAAAAAACTAATATGAAGTGTTGACCTTTTTCTTTCAATAAATACTGTATTGTTTTATAGAAATTATTAAATATTCTTTATGAAATTTAATAACTTCTGCAATTTGGTGCAATTTGGTATTTCATTATAGCTTTAAGTGTGATCCGACATTTGAGAGCTCAATACTCTATTCCTTTTAACTTCATACATAAACCTGTGGTAGAACAGGTGTATCTTTAATGGAAATGGAAAGACCTTGGAGGATCTAGTGCTGGCTGCCCAAGAAGGTGTCTTTGTTAATATTGATAGTGAATTTGATTTGGATAATATCGTAGCTGCTGCAAGGATAGCTGGGAAGAAGGTTAATGCACTTCTTCGTATCAATCCAGATGTGGATCCTCAGGTGTGTAGCTGCGACACCAAATGCATGTGATGCAATAATGTAACCTTAGGTGACTTTCCTTTATCTTGATATTAAGAAGGGAAGCTGCTGTGATGGGTATATTGGCATTTTGCAAATGGTTGATAACAAAAAATATGAGAAAAATCTAATCAATAGTAATCACATTAATGGATGATTTCTGAATCTCCTAAAGTTATTAATTATAATAGGATTGTCTATACTTTCATTATTGCCTTCAGTCATGTTAAATCAGAGTTAAATTGAAAAAACCACGTTAATTTCCCATGGTTTCAAGGATACATCAGCTAATGAGATACTTGGGGTGTGACATTGTTGGGAGAAAAATCATGGTGAGGATTAGAAACTAGAAAGGCTTTCTAGCAGAATTCTTTTTTTGGCTTTTACCTCATAAGTTCAGCCCAGTCGGTGATCTGGAAGCATACCATTAGAGTAAACCACCGTTGTCACAACCCAGCGCCACCCCCTTCACCACTTGCTGCATATAACATAACCTACCATGTAATTAATCACCTTGGCATTGCACAACCATTCCTTGCTCAAATGTCCTTACCCCACCTCACCCAACTTAAACAACGAATGGGTTCCATCACACATCCATCACCTTTGGTGTGAGGTTTCAATTCTTTGAAATAAGGAGGTCCTTGATCCAACCAATGTACGTCTTGGGCATTTGCACAATTTTTAGTTTTGACTTCCCGCGAATTTCTTGTTGGGATTACTGGATATTCTTCAAAAGATTAGCAAAACATTAAAGTTTCATAGCTTTGACGCTTAATTTTTCGTTGTCTGCATGTGTATATTAGGTTCATCCTTATGTTGCCACCGGTAACAAGAACTCCAAATTTGGTATCAGAAATGAGAAGTTGCAATGGTTTCTAGATGCTGTGAAGGCATATTCTAATGAATTGAAGCTTGTGGGTGTCCATTGTCATCTTGGTTCTACCATTACAAAGGTATTATACCAGCACACTGTTTTCTACTTTTCATTTTTCCAATCAACTTGAAAAAGATTTATATATCAAAACAATATTCTCCAGAGTTCATTTTTATTATGCAATTGCAGAACTAATATTTGAATTTTGTAGAATTTTGTGCCTTAGGTTGAATTTTTTGTTGGGACATTGTTGAATGTGTATACATGCATAGAGAACTCCCCAAGCAATATGAAATGTTATTTACTATGAATGATTTGCCATTGTTTGGGTATTGTGCATGTCGTGGTTTTCCAGCACTTCATTTTTTAATTTTTTAGGGGTTTGGGGTGGATTTGATTAATATTTTTTATAATGTTGATTATCAGGAACTGTAGAAGCTTGTCGAGTGCTAAAACTCTAATGCAGTGCGCCCTCAATTTTTGGTTGTGGATAGTTCCTTGCTATCCTTTGGTCATCCTTTCATTTTTTTACCCAATTTTCTTTCTTATTTTTTTCTCATCTATATTGATTCTCCACCAGTTCATCTCTCTTTCTGAGTTTATGCATCCATACAATTTTTATCATCAACATTTTGAAATTTTTTACTTTAATGGAATATGTATGTTTGTCACAATCTTTATTCTCAACAATACAATGATTTTTTTTGTGTGTGTTCTACACAGACCTAAAGGTACTATTGTTCTCTCCAGGTTGACATTTTCAAAGATGCTGCAGTAATAATGTTGAACTACATTGACCAAATTCGAGCCCAAGGATTTGAAATTGATTACTTTAACATGGGTGGTGGTCTGGGGATTGATTATTACCATACTGGAGACATCATTCCCACCCCCGGAGATCTTATTGACACAGTAAGAACCTTGATTTCAATTTTGGCATGTGGCATATGGTCGTATGTGGATCAAGGGGACATCAAATATGGTTGTTATTCACCTGCAGCTAGCCTTATTCTGCACTACCTTTGTAGGGGAAAGTTCCTTGATATTTCCAGGTCATCTACCAACTTTTTTGGTTTTTGGAGATGTGATGTCTGATCTTCTAAAATGTTCCCAAAATATCCATACCACTTGCAATCACAACAACTTAGTGCTTTTATAGAATAGAATGTTACTAGAAACAGCCATCAACTGCTGTCTTTGTTATATCACTTCTGCCATAGCTCCTGTTAGTAATGATAGTATTACTTGATACCAACATTTGGTAACTATGAAGATCATGAAGCTGAATCGCATTCAATAAACGACTGCTATGAGTATGTCTTGTTATTGGCCAATAGACTCATTGACGAATGGTAATAAACTTTTGGACATTGTGGTGCTTAATTGAAATTGTTGTGTTTCTCGGGGTTTGCTGAGCATTAACTGAATTGCTTATATGGCTATTGATTTCTTGCCTCCTAATGGGGTATGATATTAAGAAAATCAGCAGCATTGGTACTTTGGACCATGTGAAGGTGCTATTAACTTTTTTTATGGGTGTGTGGTGTAGGTTAGAGAGTTGGTGCTTTCACGTAATCTCAATCTCATCATAGAACCTGGGAGATCTCTCATTGCAAATACTTGCTGCTTAGTTAACCGTGTCATTGGAGTCAAATCAAATGGGACAAAAAATTTCATTGTGATTGATGGGAGCATGTCAGAACTTATCCGCCCTAGTCTCTATGGCGCTTATCAAGTAAGTTTCTAATACATAAGTTGTTCTGTGAATTTGCCTTTGTGGATCAGATCATTGTTGTCTGACAATACGAGCCTTGCTCCTTTCTGTCATATCCAAAATCAAATTTGTGTTCGTTTTTTAATCACTGGATGTTTTGTGTTGTAATTAAATGTGTTTATTGGAATAGAAGTCTAATAATTTTTCCTTGCAGTTGATCTAATAGTCAATAAATTACATTTTGACAAACTATTTGTGATGATTGCTTCCTTAACATGTGAAGAGGCTTTTCTTGTGCATCGGGATATCCCATTACAATAAATTGCTCCTTTTGTGAACAGTTGGAATAGTAGTTATTATTCCTTTGCAAGTTTGAATATCCAGTCTAATTAAACCTCCCTGTTTTCTCGCACTTGCACGTAATCATTATCTTTTTTTCATAAATTCTTTTAACTTTTGGTCGTTGTTTCTCTTTTGAATGCAGCACATAGAGTTTGTTTCTCCTTCACAACCCGATGATGAGATTTGTACTTTTGATATTGTGGGTCCGGTCTGCGAGTCGACGGATTTCTTGGGAAAGGATAGGAAACTTCCAACACCTCCAGTGGTAACATGTTGTGCTTCTTTATGGTGATAGTGTTGTCCATTCTCGCATATTGCACTAAACTAGAAGCATGCTTTTCAGGGTACCGGCTTGGTGGTTCATGATGCCGGGGCTTACTGCATGAGTATGGCATCAACTTACAATCTCAAGATGCGCCCACCTGAGTATTGGGTTTGTGAATTTGACCTTACGTTATCTTAGTTATTAAAATTTTCTATCTATTACTTGCCAATAGTTGCATTTGACTTACTTATACAACACCATCAGGCCATTTTTTTACCACCTGTGCTAAGACCTAGGGGTCAATATTGTCTGCATGTTTTCAGTGTTAAATAGAAAGTTATGGGCATTTGGTGGGTAATCAGCTGTTTTGTAGATGTTTGCTTGGTTTATTGAAACCCTTTCTAATATTGAAATTTTAAATTGTTTTGAGACCTCTCTATAAATAGTTACGCAGAAGGCCTTGGACTTATTTATTGGAGTTAATGAGTTTAGAGCACTGTATCATTCTTCCATTTGTTGGACACATGGTTTTAAATCAATTTGTCTGCTTGCTTATGAACATGTGTGGGTATTTATTGTCTAGTACTCCTAGCCTTGCTCTCTGTTCTTATGAATGAGTACTCACTTGTTATCTTTCTTTTATGCCATAACACAATGTCTTTCTTTGTTCATTTTGGCTTGCCTAATAAATTGTAATCCGCTTAATCCAAAATCCGAGTTTGTCCTTTTGAACCATTTCTCTTAAGGATGTAATTGCTGAGAATTTGAATTGATGTTTTTAGGTTGAAGAAGATGGATCAATCTCAAAAATCCGCCATGGGGAAACATTTGAAGACCATTTGAGATTCTTTGAGGGTCTTTAGTTTATAAAATGTTGCAGACTCTTCCCATTGTTGCCATGCCAGGGTTCTAGGCTAGGACTCTTTGTTTTTCTATCAAGTTATGATTTATTTTCCCCCATTGGAATTCAAAAAACAAATAGAGAATTGGTGATGATGATGATGATGATGTTGCCGCAGGTTTAAATGGGTGAGTGGTCATGCTTTTTTTGATGTATTTGTAGAATTACAATCTCTTTGGAGATAGGGGGGAGCAGCCCTTTTATAGGATTCCAAACCTGCGCTTTTATAAACCCTCCACCTTGACCCTTTCTACCATTTAGTCCGTGTTTGGGTCTTCTGGTCATATAGAATTGGTGCTGTAGTTTGTAGTAGATATTTCTTCAGTCTTTTGCATGTGATAGGCGGCGGACATTCCCAATCTGCATTGTAAGCTTGTGTTTAAAGAATGTGTGATTAGATTGATTTTTCATTTTGAAAGGACCTCGTGATGGTTGCACGTCCTCTTGCCCATCTGTAATAACTTTATCATAACCTATGTGGTATGCGTTGTATGTGCAATGGGTTAAAACAATTGCCTTGTGGGAACCATGTCTTGGTCAAGGTAACTTTCGAAACGTGATGCCTTGTTGTCGGGATGATTTGTAAACTCTAAGTGTAGTTTGAGTGGTTATAGGGATGAATTGTAATATCAGATGTTTTATGTTTTCCCTCGTGAACTTTTAATATTTCATGAAATTTTTAGTTTTGTTGTGCTTTTAGGAGATTGAGACTACTTACATTAGCGTAAATGTAGAGTGAGGCTGAGTTTTTGGGAGATCGAGGCGGTTTATGTGGGTGCAGAGGTAGAGTGAGGTTGAGTTTTTGGCGACTCGAGAGAGAGGCGCTAAGCTAAACACTTAGGTTGCTTGTGAGAGTAGCAAGATTAGGCTAAATTTCTGGTGACTCGTGAGAAAGGTGTTAAGCTAGAGACTTAGGCTATTTGAGTGAGAGTAGAGGTAGAATTTTGCATAGCTTTGGCGACTCACGATAGAAGTGCTAAACTGGAGACTAAGGTTGCTTGCGTGAGAGCACATACTGAGTGAGTCCGAGTTTTTAGTGGCTTGTGAGATATGTGCTAGGTTGGAGACATAAGTTGCTTGCATGAGAACAAAAGCAAAGTTAGACCAAGCATTTGGTGGCTCATGAGAGACCCTCTAAGTTGGGGTGTGAGGCTATTCGCATGAGAATAGAGGCAGAATTTGGATGAGTTTTGATGACTTGTGAGAGATGTGCTAAGTTGAAGACATAGGTTGTTTGTGTGAGAGAAGAGGTAGAGTGACTACTGAGATAGGCGCTAAGCTGGAGAATTAGGCTGCTTAAGAGCAGTGGCAAGATTAGGCCGAGTTTTTGACAACTACCCAGGAAGGCTTTAAGCTGGAGACTTAGGCTGCTTAAGAGCAGTGATAAGATTAGGTCGAGCTTTTGACGACTTGTGAAAGAAGAGTTAAGTTGGAGAGTTAGGTTGCTTAAGTGAGAGTAAAGGCAAAATTAGGCGAAGCTTTAGTGACTCAAGAGAAAGGTGCTAAGTTGGAGATTGATGTTGCTTGCATGAAAACAGAGATAGATTGAAGTCGAGTTTTTCGGCATTTAGGAGACTCTATCCTAAAAGATGAAGAGGAGGAAGGAGATGACAATAAGGGTAGCAAGAGGGCGCCAGTAGGATAGAGTCGACGGCGCATGGGCATTGAGCGCCGAATGCAAAGTTGCCAAATACGGTTAACACCGGGCACCAAGGACATTGTTCGACCAGTTGGACATGCGATACGGGCGGTGTGCCCGGGCGAGTGAAGAGGCTTGTGCAAAGGCAAGCACGTGGGTGTGCGTTTATTGGGTCGGGGCACTGTTGGGCCCGAGTGTCACTAGGCGCGAGCGTTGTTGGGTGTGGGCACTACTAGGCGCTGGGTGTGGCATCGCTGGGCCCTGGGCGTGTGCGCTAGTGGGTGCTTGGCATGGGTGGCGCTGGGTTTGGGAATCTGTGGGCCTGAATGCCGCTGGGGTCTAGGCATTGGCACCACTCAGAGTGGGAGCTGTTGGGTGTGGGCGGAGTATTAGGAAGTCCTAAAGGAACAACAATATTTTAAATGATCATAACCTTGCACTCGGTTGTTCATTTGAGGTGAATTTTTTTTTTTTTTTTTAATTTGGGCATTATTTCTAGATCTATCACAATCAGACAACCTATGATAGTTTGGGCACTAAATTTTTTCAAAAAATGTTTGTTTTTCATCGAATTTGAATTTTAATCATAAATTAGTGAAGATGTAGAATTTTCTTGTGTCTATTTTTTTTATTCCTTTCTTCATGAGGACTCCTTGCATGGTCTCCAACAATTGTTGGGATTTAGGGACGAGGTTCATCAATGGTGGTAGGACCCTGGTCGTGACATAGGGGGTCATCTTCCATTTGGTGGTTCAAGGATCTGGTTATGATTGTTATTAAAAGTAGTCTTGGAGGTAGGTGAGAAACAAATCGTTTCTACAGACGACGTCAAACTGATAATGCACAAAGTGAATTTATGTACAATCAAATTAGTTGAGTGTGATATAAATTAATTAATGAAACAGTTAATAATAAGAGACAGATTTAGAGAATTCTATTAATGAGAGAGTACAAGATAGTAGGGGGAGAGAGAGAGGGCAATAGTATGTTCAAGGTGAGGTATGTGAGATCTATCCTCATGTGCAAGGGGATTTACAATTTATAGGCACAGAGCCCTTGTTGTGAGGGTGACGTGAAGGCCAAATTTCCAATTTATCGGGGATAGCTTTTAGATTTCTTTTTTGTGATTGTTTTAATTCAACTTCATTCTACATTTGTTTGGTCTTATGATCATCCCTTGTGCTGTTACCCATGTGATTCTTTCTTGTTGTAGGATGTCTATGAGACTGAATCTGAACAAGCTATTTAGGAAAGTTGGGTGGATGTTGAGGAATGGGGAGTGCCTGCTCATTTATTTAAAGCATATTTTTTTATCAACATTTATTTCAATTCAAGCTTCCCGATCCTTCTCTTTCGACAGGGGTGCAATTTAGATGGGTTAGGTGAGTTGAGGGATCAACTCTATTCTAATATTAGGTATAAATACTTCAATCTTAACATTAATCCTAATTCGACCTCAACCCGAAATACTTAATCCAAATATTACTCGAGTTGATTTCGAGCAAACTTGGGTTACCCAATTTGGGCCCAATTGGAGTTGGCAATTTTGGCTTAACAAATAATAATCTTAAATTAGGTATGAGCATTTGCATAATGTTAGATTATTATATAGACCTACATAATTCACTAAGATGTTTACTCTTCTTTTACGTAATAATAATTATAAAATATGTTTTTCTATTTTATTTTTATATTGTTTATATAAAATATAATATGTGGATTCAGGTTGAACTCAGGTTAGTTCGGGTTGAGCCCAATTTCATTAATTCGGGTTAAACTCGTGAACTCAAACTCTTTACCGGAGTCATGTTTGAATTGAATTCAAGTTGATATTTTTCAACTCTAATTCTAACCCTACAAACTTCAACCCTAACACTGTTTCTTCCAGATTTAATTTGGGTTGATCCGTCCAAGTTACACCCCTATCCCTAAATATTAGATATCATCGGTAGTTCGTAAATTGTAAGTTTGATATCCTATCGAAACAAACAAATGATCAAAAATTGACAAAGTAACTCTACTCGTATAATTGCACAAACTCCAACAAGGAGTCTCCCTCTCTTTTATTTTTGTAATTTCTCTGCTCCATTTTTGTTCGATGAGATAAAAATTTATAATTTCTAGCTAATAATAACATAAAAACGACGAATAACAAAAGCAATAACTTTTTGGTCTCGAGTTTACAATAAAGTTCAGAGAAGCAAACTCGCATATTGTTAAAACTTGCGTTTTTAAGACTAAAGAGTCGGGAAAAAGTGAGACAAGCTTCAAAATGAACACTCACTGAAGCACATGTACAAAGTTATTACTAAAAACAATAATTATTCAGCATTCCACGAGGACAAGGGTGGGGTGTCTACAGTCTTCCAAGTAGGAAATTTGGGGGGATATCTATCACCCTTGACTACTTCAGCCATAGATTCGAGCTCAACCATTTCTTCAGGTGTTAGATTCACAGACAAACCTCCAATGTTCTGGTTCAAATTCTCAATCTTGATAGTACCCGGTATCGGAAAAATGTCGTTCCCTTGATGATGAACCCAAGCCAAAGCTAGTTGTGATGGGGTGCATCCCTTCCTCATAGCCATTTCATTAACCCTCTTGTAAAGAGTTTTATTGTGCTCCAGATTCTCAGGTTGGAACTTGGGTAGAATCTACAAGATATGTAACACAAATATCAGGATATATATTTGTTATTCATTAACACATGGTTCACCAAATTTTAGCAACCAATATATTTGGTTCCTATGCAAGGTAATTCTAGAAAATCGATGTTCCGTAACTAAATAACAGTATGGTATCCCAAAAATAAATAAATTTGGTTACTGTTTTTCGGTTCCGAAGTCTTTACCCTTCATCACCGAGGGAAGTGAGTCATTTGTGACAATGTCACATCCACTTGTTCCCTTATTTGTGACGTGAACATTCCCAAAAAAATAAAAATAAAAATTAGTTTCACGTGATAAACAGCAGCCGTGAGTCGATGCATTGTTGGTGATGTATTTGTAACTTGATCGTGCATCAACTATAAACGAGAGAAGTAAAGGTGGTTGACAGAATATTGAGAGAATCAAATAGACAAGTGAAAATTATGGATATTATTCAAAAAAAAGATGAAATTAAGCAATTCTAATACATTAACTCATCATGCAATCCATAATTTCACAGTGAAACTAAAAAATATTGTGTTATAAGCACAAACCATTCGGAAGTCATTATCTGAAAACTTGTCAGTGATCCCTAGACCTAGTGAGAAGAACCCTCTTCCTAGAGGACTGAATACAATCCCAATGCCAAGGTCTCTGAAATATTACAATAACATTGGAAATTAGAAAGTTGGATTGTATTACTCCCAAAACAAATTAGTTTGAAGAAGTGTACAAGCAATGATGAAAATTTTGTTTTGTTTCCATCGAAACAATGGAAATCGAAATTAATACTAAATATTGGAACTTTTATGTTGGAATATTTGAACTTTTATATTTCAATTAATGTTTCAGAATGTTTCGGAAGTCAATTTTCATTTTTTTTTCCTCCATTTTTATTTTATTTTTGAGATATTTCTCAAACATCTCTAAAACCTTTCCATTACCAAATTGATCAAAACTATGTACCGAAACAAAATATCGATCACTCACCTGCAAGTTGGGATTACAAGGACCATTCCAATTGAATCGAGGTTATTGGATGAACAGCATGCGCTCGTCTGATAGTTGAAGTTGAGGCCTCTAATAGACCTATGTGTTTTATTTTACCTTCTTCAACCAGTTTTTTTAGTTCTCCTACCTAGTAACAATTTGGCCTTAAAAGGATTAGCAACACTGTATATATAAGAAGCCTGTTCAGCAAAAGAATGTTACATGGTATACTTTAGTGATGTAGGATAGCATTGCAAATCATAAACCTGCATTTTATTAATTCTCAGTTGAATTTTGGTTAAAAACTTATTTAAGGACAAGGTTAAAAAATCTATATTTTATTTCTAGTTTTTTTTGTTACAGAGTATCCAGACTTGCGCCCTACTCTCTCCAACTCGGACTTGGCTCCAAAGCTCCGAGCTAGTTTAAACCACCATGTTGACGCGTGACGGAGAGATTGCCCTTAAGGGGTATGTAAAGTATTGAACCTAGATCTTGCTTGTAAGTGGTCAAATTTGGTCACTGAACTACCCTTAATGATTTTGTTATTTCTATTTCTCTCAAGTGTTATTCAACTAGAAAAAAAATTCCTTAAGTAAAGAAACTTTATGAATTCTTTTTTTTTTTTTTTTAAGTTGAAGGTAAATATTGAAAAACTAAAAAGATAGAAGGTTGAGCCAATCTAAAAGTTTGAAGTGATTAGTTGTTATAGACCCAAATGTAAAGGTAAATGCAAGTTACCCCAAGTTTAAAAAAAAATGCTAGACAGTGCACAAAGAAACTACAATTTAAAGGAGATTGCCGACAAACAAAGATGCAACAACAACTAGTTTTGTAATGGTAAAAAAATGAAATCATGGCTAGCTATCTCATTATGACTTGAACGTCAAGATTTCAAGTCACAGAATAACGTATTTGTAAAATTATGTATCCTCGAAGCTGCCACTGGGTCAAGTCTAATAAATATTCAATGAAACAATGACACCACATTATCATTGTCATATGTCACTAAATTTAATGGAAAATAAACAAAGATAAAACAAATACCACTTTACACGGGATAGTTAATATACTACATGGAGTGGTAGTTACTAAACTGTAAGATTTGTTTACTCACTTATTATTTTTTATTAAGGGTTGTAACGGTAACAGTGATGGCATAGTGTCCCAGTATACTGAATATTTTCTCCCACACCATATGGTATACCCTTGTTCACTCCTTTTTGAACTTTCCATATGTTCATTAACATCCAAAATTGGAATTACCTATAAATCTTTAATTTTAAGGTTAAAAGATATGGAAGAACATCAATGTTTACAATTGTTGTGATGACTTGTATTCAAGTCAATTGTTTTTTATATGGACTCTAATTGAAGACATGAGTTTGTATTGGAGTCCTTGATAGACAAATTTGACCTTAATTAAGATTATCTTGATTTTATTATTTTAGTGGAGTTTAGTCCAACATGAACTTTTGTTGTTTAAACTCAAAGCCTTCAAGGAGTCTTTGGTTTTTTGTTCTACACGTGAGACCTCCTCAGCATAAAGACTTTGTGAAGGAATCAAATTCCTTAGTCCAGAAGCTAGATAAAAAGGACGTCTTCTCCAATGAGTTAATGGTTGGCCATTGACGACGGTAAAAGAATTTTCTTTATGTGTGATAAATTGATATTGCTCTATTTTGTTAAATCCAATAAATATTTTATTATTGGAATAGAGCAGATATCTAGTTTTCTCTTTGATTTGTTCTGAGAATGTTGTAATCTCCGACCTTTCAATAATGAAATTTTGACGTTGTGTTTCGTTCGTGGATGTAGACTTGCTTGTTGAGCCGAAGCACGTAAATCTTTATGTTATATTTTTCTATTTCGTTGCGTTATTATTTTGCTTGTGATTTGTTTATAACAAATTGGTATCAGAACTATTGATTTCGGGATGGCTACCGCAAAATTTGAGATAGAAAAATTTGATAGTCAGAAAAATTTCAGTTTATGACATATCAAGATGAAGGCATTGCTTCGTCAGCAAGGTTTGTCAAAGGCCATTGATGGAACTTTATCCAAGAAGACAGATCAAACTAAAGTTGTTGATATTGAAGAAAAAGCACACAGTGCAATTTAGTTGTCTCTTGTTGCTGAAGTTTTTTGTGAGGTTCACGATGAAGACAAAACCGAAGGGTTATGGAAAAAGTTGGAGAGTTTATATATGAAGAAGTCTCTCGTCATATCTAAAGTAACGATTGTACATACTCAAGATGAAAGAAGGTACGCTCATTAATGAACATCTTGATGAATTTAACAAAATTATTATTGACTTGAAAAATATTGATATTAAAATTGGGGATGAAAATCAAGCCCTGATTGTGTTATGCTCGCTGCCTAATTCGTTTGATAATTTTGTTAATTCGATGTTGTATGGGAGAGACTCAATCTCTTTAGTTGATGTGAAATTTTCTTTGAATTCTAAGGAGTTGCGTACTAAATTGAATAGTAAGGGCAGTGATACTCAAGCCGAGGGTTTATTTGTGAAGGGTCGTCATGATAATTCCTCTAATAATAATAGAGGTCGATCCATTGAAAGAAATTCAGATAAAGGAAAAGGAAAAGCTAGATATCGATCACAATCTAGGAAGAAACAGAATAATGTTGAATGTTTTTATTGTCATAAAATTAGTCATTATAAGCGTGATTGTTTTAAGTTAAAAAATAAAGGGGGACAAAAAAATTCAAATCCTTTCAATTCCTCTAGTGTTGCTGGTGTTGCAAAAGATACATCTAATGGTTTAAATAATGTCCTTACAGTCTCTGATGGACGTTTTAATGATAAATAGATTCTTGATTCGGGTTGTTCCTATCATATGTGCCCTAATAGGGATTGGTTTACCACCTATGAGTCAGTCAATGGTGATTCAGTCTTAATGAAAATAATGTTGCTTGCAAGACTGTTGGAATAGGTACTATCCGAATTAAGACACATGATGGGGTTGTGAGGACTTTGACAGATGTACGACATTGGTTGCAGGTTTTCTACTGAAGGTGGAGTTATGAAAGTCTGCAAAGGTTCCTTGGTTGTGATGAAAGGTAAAAAGATTAATGACTTCTATGTTCTTCATGGTGATACTGTGATTGGTGCAGCTGGTGTGTCATCTTCAAAAATTCCAGATTCAGATACTACTCAGTTATGACATATGCGTTTGGGTCACATGAGCGAGAGGGGCATGGAAGTCTTGTGTAAACAGGGTTTGCTTGGCAAACAAGAAATTAGGAAACTTGATTTTTGTGAGCATTGTATCTTTGGGAAACAGTGCAAAGTCAAGTTCAGTACAACTATTCACAAGACTAAAGGTACAGTTGATTATATTCATTCAGACCTTTGGGGTCTTTCTCAGGTTCCATCTAAGGGTGGTGTTCGGTTCTTTTTGACCTTTATTGATGATTATTCAAAAAAGATTTGAGTCTATTTTCTGAAACGAAAGAGTGATGTTTTTGGGACATTCAAGCAATAGAAAACTTTGATTGAGAAACAGACAAGCAAGAAAGTCAAGTGTCTCAGAACAGATAATGGTTTGAAATTTTGTGGAGGTGAATTTAATGAGTTTTGTAAAGATGAAGGCATTGTTAGGCATCGTACTGTCTGGTCTACTCCACAGCAAAATGAGGTTGCAAAGAGGATGAACAGAACTCTTGTGGAGAGAGCACGATATATGCTCTCTAATGCAGGATTGTATAAAGATTTTTGGGCTGAGGCTGTCAGCATTGCTTGTTATTTGGTTAATCGTTCTCCATCCACTGTTATTGAGTTGAAAACTCCACATGAGGTATAGTCTGGTACTCCTGCTGATTATTCTAATTTAAAAATATTTGGTTGCACTACTTATTGTCATGTGAATGATGGTAAACTTAAGCCTAAGGCTAAGAAGTGCATATTTATTGGTTATGCTAATGGTGTGAAATGATATAGATTGTGGTATTCTAATCCTAAATCACCTAAGTTTATAGTTAGTAAGGATGTTGTATTTGATGAATCTTCCATGTTTCATCTGAGAAAGGAGTTTGTAGTTTCTACAAGGAAAGAACATGATTATAGCAAGGAGGTGGAGCTACAGGTAGAAGCTTCACAGAATGTGCTTGAAAGTACTCTAATTCAATCAATTTCAGACTTGCTTGCTTCTAGTTCAGGTGATGATCCACAGGAGCAACATGAGTATAGTATTGCAACAAGCAAGAAGAGGAGGCAAATTAGATCCCCTAAAAAATATGGGTATGCCGACTTGGTGGCCTATGCACTGACTATAGCAGATAAGTTTGGTGTTCAGGAGCCTTCCACATATTTAGAAGCTGTCACAGGTAAAGAGTCTGCACATTGGGTTGTTGCTATGGCTGAGAAAATTGAATCTCTTCATAAGAACCAGACTTGAGAATTAATGAAGTTGCCTAAGGGCATGAAGACTGTTGGCTGCAAATGGGTCTTCAAGAAAAAGGAGGGAATTCCAGGGGTTGAATCTGTAAGGTACAAGGCACAGTTAGTTGCAAAGAGCTACAGTCAGAGAGAGGGTGTGAACTTCAATGAAATTTTCTCACCAGTAGTAAAACATAGTTCTATTCGTGTATTACTTGCCATGGTTGCTTCACTCAATCTTGAGCTTGAGCAACTTGATGTAAAAACAATTTTTCTACATGGTGAGCTAGAGGAAACTATCTACATGCATCAACCAGAGGAATTTATTGTTCAAGGTAAAGAAAATCATGTTTGCTTGTTGAAAAAATCATTATACGGTTTGAAACAGTCTCCAAGGCAGTGGTACAAACGTTTTGACACCTTTATAGTAGATCATGGTTACTCTAGAAGTAATTATGATAATTGTGTGTATCACAGACAGTTGTCAGATGATTTTTTGATATATTTATCGCTTTATGTAGATAACATATTTATTGCTGCTAAGAGCATGTTAGAGATTGACAGGTTGAAGAAACAGTTGAGTTTATAATTTGAAATGAAAGATTTGGGTGCTGCAAAGAAAATTTTGGGTATGGAGATTCACAGGGATAGAAGAGCAGGTATGTTATATTTATCTCAAAAGAAATATAGTGAGAAAGTTATTGAGCGATTTGAGATGCAGAATTCGAAGCCCGTGAGTACTCCACTTGTCGCTCACTTTAGGCTTTCAGCAGCTTTATCTCCACAGAGTGAGAATGATGAACAATTTATGTCTCGTGTTCCTTATTCTAGTGTAGTTGGAAGCATCATGTATGATATGGTTTGCACTCGTCCAGAAATTTCACAGGCAGTTAGTGTAGTTAACCGTTACATGGCTAATCTTGGGAAGGTTCATTGGCAGACTGTGAAATGGATACTTCGTTATTTGAGAGACACTACATATGTTGGCTTAGTATTTGGTAGAAGAGATGACATCGATTCTACAGTTGTTGGTTTTGTTAATTCAGATTATGCGGGTGATCTAGATAAAAAGAGATCTCTGACAGGTTATGTTTTTACTTTATTTGGGTGTACTGTAAGTTGGAGGACGATCCTACAGTCTACAATTGCTTTGTCTACCACAGAGGTAGAATACATGGCAGTATCAGAGGCAGTTAAAGAAGCAATTTGGTTAAGAGGTTTGGTCTGTGATTTGGGCTTTGAAAAAAAAGTAACTACTGTGTTTTGTGATAGTCAAAGTGCAATACATTTGACCAAAAATCAGATGTATCATGAAAGGACCAAGCACATTGATGTTAGGTATCACTTCCTTCGTGAAGTTATGACTCAAGGTATTGTCACAGTGAAAAAGGTTGCTACAACGGAGAACCCAACAGATATGTTTACTAAGCCGGTACCAGTGTTCAAGTTCAAGCATTGCTTGAACTTAATTGGTGTCTGCACTATTTGAGTATACCCTTCGGGGTATTTGACTAAAGCAGCGATCAAGTTCACATTGGTTGGATGGATAGATGAAATATAAGTCAAGGTGGAGATTTGTTGTGATGACTTGTATTCAAGTCAATTGTTTTTTATATGGACTCTAATTGAAGACATGAGTTTTCATTGAAGTCTTTGATAGACAAGTTTGACCTTAATTAGGATTATCTTGGTTTTATTATTTTAGTAGAGTTTAGTCCAACATAGACTATTGTTGATTAACTCAAAGCCTTCAAGAAATCTTTGATTTTTTGTCCTACACGTGAGACCTCTTCAGCATAAAAACTTTGTGAAGGAATCAAATTTCTCAGTCCAGAAGCTAGATAAAAAGGGCGTCTTCTCCAGTGAGTTAGTGATTGACCATTGACGACGGTACAAGAGTTTTCTTTGTATGTGATAAATTGATATTGCTCTATTTTGTTAAATTCAATAAATATTTTATTATTAGAATAGAGCAGATATCTAGTTTTCTTTTTGATTTGTTTTGAGAACGTTGTAATCTGCAACCTTTCAATAGTGAAATTTTGATGTTATGTTTCGTTTATGGATGTAGACTTGCTTGTTGAGTCAAACCACATAAATTTTTGTGTTCTATTTTTGTATTTCGTTTCGTTATTATTTTGCTATTGATTTGTTTATAACAACAATGAATAAGAAAATAAAATGGCAGATGATCATCACATACAGTGATTTCAATGGGAATGCAAGTTAATATTCTGTCTCACCATGGTACTCGTACTCTCCATCGACAACCTTGATCCCGAATTTTGTGGCCACCTGCACTTTCTCTCTCCACCCTCCCTTCAAAGCCTGCACTTACTTGGTTCCATCAACACAACAAATAACACACACTTGTATGCCATGAAGGGTGTCGTCAACACGACGTAAACCCGACATGTAAATTAAGATTGATTGGTTTTCAACTAGAATTCGTAAATGATGCAATCTGCTAACAACATATCAAAGTATAAGTTCTAAATAAAAATAACCTGATTTTGATAATGATAAGCGCCTTAACTTTTGAGATATAATAAACCCCTAATGTTTTATTTATTATTTTTCCGATTTTGATATGATATATTAAATAAATTCTTATAGTATTATAGGATTTTTTTTTTTTTTAATATCGATTTACTAGCATGTGTATAGATCAAGCATATTTTTAGTTTATGGAGATCTATCAATGATGAGTTTGCTATGGGTCATGAGAATCAACTCGAACACAATATGATTAATAAATGAATCGACTTAATCTCTAAAAATCTCACACGATTAGTTAAGGTTTAAGATTAACTAATTACACACTCATTCCAAAAACGAGTGGTACAACATGACTCAATTATCCCCGACAAGATGTGAAATAGTGAGGAGTACCTTGCTGAGAAGAATCTCGTTAAGATGGGAGCCATAGCAGTCGGCATTGTCGAGGAAAGTGATGCCGGTGTCGATGGCAAGGTGGATGAGTTTGATCATTTCGGCTTCGGGTTTTGGAGGGCCGTAGCCGAAAGACATGCCCATGCAGCCCAACCCTTGTTGTGATACCACCAGACCTTGTGAACCCAATTTGCTTCTACCTAATGTTGATGGGATTGTGTCCTTTGTTTGGATTGAACAAAGGAATGGTTGGTTTGGTTGTTGCATACAGTGATGGCAAATGATGAAGGCACAGATTATTTGAAGGAGGACAATGTGTAAAGGTGGCACATGCATGCAAGAAATCCTTTTTTAAGAGGGTGGTTCGTTTAGTCAACTATAGTGTAGTCCGACTTTTGATTCCAGTAGCATATAATATAGAAACTCTGAGTGTAAATTTTAAAAAATGAGAATCTCTTACATCTATATATGAAACTTATTTTGATGTCTGAAATTTATATCGGTCGGCCTCCTTTCACAAGGAGATTCTATTTCCTATGAAGACTTTTGTCGATCGGTTTTAGTCATCCATCCTCCAAACGTTTGAAGAATTTTTTTTTTCTTCTTCTTTTTTTTTTTGTATTTTATATTTGAGTTAGGATTTTTTTTGACTATTTGAGTTTGGTCTACAATTGTAGACATGATTTGTGATTTCGATACAAACACGTTATAAAATTAATAGATTTAAGGTTCAAATGATAAATTGTTAGATGCATTAAACCCATTAAATAAATTAGTGTATTTGAATGAGCAAGGTTGTGAATGGGTATCAAGGGTAATCCATTTTTTCCCAACTACCACCACCACTACTTTTATGTTTTGACCTCAGTCCCACAAATTGACGGAGAGACGAAACTCATCTACAAAGAACCCATTTACTCGAATCCTACCCATTACAAAGAACCCATAACTATTGAAACAATGTACTACTTACCAACTCTCTGTGTGTATTACGTGGGTGTGTATCTACGTGGACAGAGATAAGAGGAGATATGTGGTGTGTTGTTGTTCAAGAACTAGATCTGGAAGGAGACGGAGAGGTCGCCTCCACCTGAGAACTGAGCAGAGCAGTAATCGCTGCTTCCTTGGTCGCCTAAGTGCGCCTGAGAACTGAGCAGCCGCGACGAAGGGTCCGGCTCCTCTGCGGTGGTGGAGTTACCGCATGTCACGCGGTTTATTAAAACGGCACCGTTTTACTGTTCTTTTTACTTTTTTTTTTTATTTCCCCTTACCGGGTCTGAAACGCCTTCTTCTTCGTTAGACTTCAACAACAAATCCTTGTGTGGTGCAGCAGATCTGGGCAACTTCAGGCAACTCCGACGACCTCAGGCAGCTCCGATTACAGGTAACGTATGTTCCTTCGTTCTCTTTGTGTTAAGAATTTCTATTTAGATGGGTCAAATCAAATTCAAATTGTTCCTTTGTTCTCTCTGTCTTCTTTTTTTTTTGGATAGAACCTTTCGTTGGCGTTGAAATTTGATGTTGAAATTGGCTCCCTCTTTCTCCTTCAAGCAAATCTCTCACACACACCTCCCCACCCTCCACCTGTTTGAGAAAATGCCAAAAAAGAAAGAATTTACCACTAAGCACCATTGAACCTTGTGAATTCAACCAATCAAAGCAGCTACATTGTTATAGAATCTTAGAAAGGATTTTCGAGTTAACTGTTTAATTTTATGATATCCCCTATTTGCAGCAAAAGACACAAACATAGGAAGTTAAAATTAAGAAAATAACTTTATACGTGAGGCCCCTTGGATGCAAACACATATTTGATTGTTTGGATGGTTCTCTCAATCTCTACTTTTTCATGAATGCAAATGAGTAAAACAACATATTTGATCTCCATACCAGCTTAATGAGATGGAGTTAATTAATGGCAATTTGGTACTGATCATTCATAATCTAATTTCTTGACAAGTCTGTTTATTGATCAATGAACAAGTTCATCTGGCCATTTTCTTCAACAGTGTGTGTGTCTTGGATATTTAGAATGTCAGTCATATGAACTCCATGTATTTCATTAGGGGATAAATAGTCCCAAAAATGTTGTGCACCTTGTATTGCTTTTATTCCAAGCAGAAAATAGTTTTTGCTATGCATTGAAACTTACTTCTCATTTTTCTTCAGAGGTACCCATGTCGTTACAGCCCTAGATGACATATATTTTGTGGCAGTTTACCAACATTTGGTTTTAAACTTTTAATGATATATCCATGTTACAAATTGTTTGGCTGCATGTGATTTGATGATGGTGATTATTGAATACAGGTATTGGAGTTGGTTGGGAATGCAGCAAGGGATAACAAGAAGAATTGCATAGTGCCAAGGCACATTCAGCTTGCAGTGAGGAATGATGAGGAGCTTAGCAGGCTTTTGTGTGGATTCCATTTTCCAAATTAGTTGTCTTAGGAAATTTGTATTGTCTAGGTGAGAAAATGCTATTGTTTAGTGCCAGAGTTTGATTATTATTGTAATTAACATTGAATTTTTTTTTTGGAATTTTGATATGTATGGTTAATTTGGAACTTCAGAAATTGCAGCACCCCTTTAATTCATTCAGAAGTTTTCTAGAGTTGTTGGTAAGCTTGAATAGTGATGGCAGACTGAGTTTCTTCTGAGAAGCTGGTTTGCTGTTATGTATCACCAGAAGTTCTTGTTGCCATTCACCCATAATCCTCCATTCATAATGATGTTTTTGTATACATAACCTTACAGAAATACAACAGGCAATTCAACTACAAGACACTCAAGAAGTAGAGTGTACCCACTACCCAGTATCCATTCATATCAATTGCAGTGATTAATTCTCAATATAATGCGAGGCACAAGATAATAACATTAATTATTAACTCATTAAAAACTACTGTATATTGCCTCTCTAAACACAAATTCAAAACAAACTGCTATCTAAAACATAACAAAAAAAAAAAAAAGAAAAACAATGCAGGTTAAAAAAAGAACCTTGCTAAAAGTGAATAGCCGCCATGACTACACCTCAAACAACCCTAAACCAATCGTCAATTCCTCATCTCTTTGAATTTGCCCCCTCATTTTCCACCTTTTGAGCAAAAAGCTTCGTTGCAATCATATTATCATCAAAATACCGCGCATAGGGGTGCCTCTTTGGAACTAGCCTCCTATACTTGTCAAAATTCTTCTCAGCCTCATCTTTCTTCTTCAACAAAGTATATATTATCCCCTGACACATACGGTCGAAAATCCCTAGGCACCTCCTGCGCAAGCTCTTGATAAATCCTCAAAGCATACTTATAGTCCCCTTCAATGACCCGAATTTGCGCAAGTAAAAGCTTAAAATCCTTCCAATCATCCTTTTTGTTGTCTTTCTTACACATCTTCATTCCCTCCTCAATCCTATTCTCAATTTCCTTCATTTCACTAGTCTGAATCCTCCTGAGAAGCTGGTAATACTAACCCGTGATAAGCCTCGACACAAAAAGGGTCTTTATCGATTATTTCATTGAACCTACTTTCGGCCAACTCAGTCTCTCCACCGTAGCAATGCATGTGGGCTCTCAAAAATGGCCATTCAATGTCACTGGGCTCAAGTTCACTCAACCTTTCAATAATACTTATGGCTTCGTGGACTTTCTGATTTTTTATTTGAATCTCCATCAGGCTTCGAAGAGCTTCAACATCATTTGGGGATTTTAGGGTTTGGAAGATGAGGGTTAGATGATGTTGACGATGAGGATTTGATTGAGACAAGCAAACCTGGGCAATTCTTTGAGGAAGAAGAAGGCAGGAGAAACAGAAAGTGGGGGACAGAGGGAGACTACAGATCTGGAAATTGAAGGAACAGAAAGCGGGGGACAGAGGGAGACTACAGATCTGGAAATTGAAGGACCAAAACGACGGCGTTTTGGTAAGGGCCAATAAAAAAAAATATTGCAAAAACAAGTGAAACGTCGCCGTTCCACTTAAGCGCATGTCATACAGTTTTCTCCTTACCACAGACGAGTCGCTCCCGATGAAGCAGTGTTGTGTTCTCATTTCTTGTTCTCTTGCAAAATCAAAATGACCCAAATAACAAAAAAAGAAGGGTAAATAACATAAATGTCTCTCGAACTTTAGTGTCAGTTTTAAATTGGCCCCTGAACATTCAATTGTATCAATTTAACCCTTATACTTTTACATCTGCACCAATCAACTCAATTTGCCTATTTCAAACGTTAAAACTAACAGGAGATAGGGGAAAGTTGCGGGTAATAAGGGCATAATGGATATTATACTCAATGGATCTGGGTATTGGTGCCAAACTTCTTCCCTTTTCCCTCCTCCTGTTGCTCTGTTCGCCAATATAAATCTGCATCTTCTTTGTATGGCATGATTGGCAGACGATAGAGGGAGAAAGTGGATTGTGCAACAAGGGCATTGTAGAAGCATTGGATTCAGCAGTGATAGAAGCCATGGATGTGTCTTGTAACTGCGGCACTATCGTAGTGTTGAAGACCTCATAGACGAATCAAAATCCAGGAATGAGGTTTTATACCTGTGGCAAATCCATGGTAACTTTCATTTGTGTTTTTTAAATGAAAATGTTTCTCTTATCTTGTTTCTCTTACCTGTGGAAAATAAGAAATTGTTTCTCTTATTTTGCTTTATCACAAAATTTTTAAAGTGTTTCTCTTATAATGCAAATTTCATTTAGGCTGGGAGATGTGGTTTCTTTGTTTGGTGCGATCCGCCTATGTGCCTTCGTGCGCGCCAGATAATTCCAGGATTGATAAACTGCATTTCGACAATAGAGAACCAGTTGAGGAGAAGGAGAAGACGAGAGATTTTTTTGTGGATAGTTCTGATAATTTCATGGTTGTTGCAGTGGCTTATGTGGAGCAGCAATCATGAAGATGTTGTAAAAGGGTCCATCTACTCAAAATACACTGGGTACTAGCTGATAAATTTCACTAATTTGGGTACCAAAGTAGTACTGATGGTTGTAAGATAAACTTAATAGTCAGTATTGTAATGGCTCTTGTACTGATGGTTTTTATTGTAATCATACTGTGTAATGCTTTTGGTAATGCAACTTGTTTGGTTTTTGATTATTTCAGTGGAATATGAGGCACTGCAAGTATATGCAAGAATAGTCAGTATAATTACTTAGAAATGAAACATCATTACAGGGATGTGTTCACAATGCATATGTTTAAGACAAAATCTATGCTCACAATTTGGTAACAATGTGGCCATAGCATTGCCAAGTCCCTAAAATAGACAAACATATACATATTCAGTAAATTAAATTGGAAAAAAAAAATTATATGTCCAATGAAATTCAGTAAATATCATACCTTCTGTTGGTCAAACATAAATGTCCAATGAAATTGATTAATCATATTCAGATCATCATATAGTAGCTCCATAAACCATTTCCATGTGTCTGTGCACTCGTTCTCCACGACTGCATATGCTATAGGCCAAAATCCATTGTTTGTATCTATCCCATTGTTGTTAGTAGTTGACCAGGGTATATACCTGTCAGGAAAGAACCATCTATGCAAATGAAAGGTCTGCATCCTAGCAAACACCCCTCTTTCAATGGTCCCAGGCAGCAGTAAATCCTCTTAAACCTTTTATTTTCACTCCCAAGGTTGTTTTCTTCATAATCAATGACTAGTGTTGACCCTGGGTGTGTTCTTTTGATCTCTTCACAATAATCCCATAACTTATTGTACTGTGCCTTCTCACCACCTTCAATTACATCTTTAGCAATTTTTTTGGCTCTGAAAATCACATTTTTTGAAACACCCACACTATAATCCTCTTCCACAGCTTCCCTAAAGGATTGTAATGGCCATCCAAAATTAGATCTAAGCTTATTCCTGTATGTTTCAGATAACCAATTTGATGTTATATGTCTATTACGCCAGGCCCAATTGCAGTTCTGGTGCACATCATTAAAAGTCTTGATTTGTATTGTACTGCTACCTTGTATCTTTGCGGTAAAAAGCATCATTTGGCCCTCACCCTATGTTTTTCATTCCTAATAAACCTTCTGTCTGTCCCCTTCCAAATGACATAATTCTTAATAGCTTCCTTGAATTGTTTGGTCAAGGTAAATACCATTCCCAACTTGAATTCAGGTTTCCTCATGTCTGTTAATGGCCTAAAATCTGAAAATCTCCTCTTCGCAGTATCCAACTCATCATCATCATCATTAGATGAACTATGCAAATACTAAAGTTCATCTGATGCAGCATTGTCAGATATAACATCATTCTCATTGGCATTAATCACAATATTCATATTGCTCTGCCCAACACCTTTATCCCTTAATCCACCCAATTCAGCTTCATTATCCACATAAGTATCAAACAAGTAGTCATCAGTTTGTCCATCACTATTAGAGAAATCTTCATAATTTGATGTATATGAGTCACATGCATTAGAATTTTCCTCATTTTCTGAATCCTTGCCATCATCTGCAATGTCACATTTTGTATTGGGGATATATTCATCTTCATTTGGTGTGTTGTGTTCTAGGTATACTTCAATTACCCTGATATTTGGAACCCACTCCAACATTGCTGATATATCATAATCACACTTTAATACCCTCAACCCTTTTGTGAGATCCATATGTGGAACTTTATATTGATAACCAATAACCCCTGTACAATCTAGTTCCTTTGCCATGTCATTTATCTCAGGGATGGACATTAGGTCAGCATCACACTAATCAACATGCCTAATATACCCACCCTTATATACAATCTGAGGCATGCACTCAAATTTTTCACCATAATGCAACTCTATGGTGAATAACGTTGAGTTCACGCCTGTGCAAAAAGTTAGAAAACATCTTCAATCATACCCAATATATCCTATACCATAAACAATAAAAAAAAACACAAGGCAATGCTTTGTCTCCCATTCAGATTAAGGAATATGGTAAAAAAACAACAAAATCCATTCGAAACAAGAGCTTGTAGAATATTAAACCATTTCAAAACAAAACCCAACATCTTCTAAACTTTTCAAATCCAATAACTGTATAAACAACTAATTTTACCACTTTCACACGTACAAATGAATTAAAAATTTCAGACTTACCATACATTTGATCTGGATTAAAAGCAACATCCATTGGTCGAATTTCCCAAGGCATGTCTGCTTGATGAACACAAGCCCTCTTCTACAAACTGTAACTGGTTTTTCTCAATCGTCCTTGGAATGAATTTTCGCACATGATCCACAATGAATTTGTGGCAATGAATACAAATTGAATTTGGGGGAAGACGTTTGGCGAACAGAGCAACCGAAGGAGGGAAAGGGGTAGAAGTTTGGTGCCAACACCCAGATCCATTGAGTATAATGTCAATTATGTCCTTAGTGAAGTCTTCCCTTGCTCAGACTTCCAATAAGGGTTAAATTGGTACAATTGAATGTTCAGGGGCCAATTTAAAACTGACACTAAAGTTCGAGGGGCATTTATGTTATTTACCCAAAAAAGAAAGATTCAAATTTTCTTTTTTGGACTTCAAACCGTCCAGAAAATACCAGCGGATTTGGTGGTTTTTATCAAGTTCTTTTCCTTATGCGGTTCAACTAGTTAATCGGATGGGTTAAGGTCTCGAGTCACAGTTGAATCAGTTCAACTAGAGGTGACAATTTTTGACACGACACGATAACTCGATACAAACATGACACGAATAAATGGGTTTGGGTTGACTAATTTTTTGTGTCAACCCGTGTATGACACAAACCGTCAACACGAAATTTTTATGGGTTGTGTTCGGGTTTAACCCGCTTAACCCGAATTGAAACTTATATTTAATTGGGTTGACACGAACCCGCTGACTTGTTTTGACCCGGCATTGACCCACCACTATATAAATAGTTTAATTATTTTTTGCAAACCCTAACTTCATTTTTTTCCTTCCCTCTGTCCAGCCGCCTCCCTCCTTCCCTCTGTCGGTCTCTCTTGGCTTGGCATCGGAGACCAGGTTATCTCCCTCTCCCTCTCTCACTCTTTCTCTTTCTCTGTCTCTTTCTTTGCTTCCCTATTTCCCTCTGTAGTGTTTGTATTTTGTCATGACCCACATTTCTCAATGTTCACTCATTATAATATGAGTAATGCTAGACTGACCAAATTTTGGGACCAAATTTAGAGCCTAAATGATATGGCAACATATTATTTGGAGTTTTAATTGGGGCCTAAATGACATGACACCAAATAAAGAACTCCAAGTCAGCTGCCATATCATTTGGGCTACAAATTTGGTCCCAAAATTTGGTCAGTGTAGTATTACTGTTATAATATATACAGATCTGGATCTGCATCCTTGGTGTGCATGTGTTCTCCACATTTTCGTTTTCTTGGTATATGTGTTATAAAATAATTTGTTGGTTCAGTATATGATTTTTTTTTTTTGGGTAAATAGTTCATTGTATGGTTAACTTTGTTGTAAGAAGGTCGGATTGAGCTAGTTGAGCAGCAAGAGGAGAATCAGACATTCACATTCAAATCTTTCAATAATTTTCTTTGGTTTCCCTATTAATGAACATACTTTTCTTCATTAGTTTCGGAAAAAGATTGCGTGATTTCCAATCTCCTCAAGCTCCAAATGGTTTCCAATCCACTGCAGCAGTTTTCTCACCCTCAATAGGAGTGTTTTCTCACATCAATCCATGAATTAAACATTACATTTATTTCTAACCCTCTTTTTTTTAAAATTCTTTCATAGAATGCTCTACATCATGAAAAACAAACATGTCTACTTTTGTTTGTGTGAGTGTCGGGGATATGGGTGGCAGGCAGTGGGTGCTAATTTTTTTTTTATCGGGTCAGGTAGCAGTGGAGAAAGCCACATTGCAATACACGCCTCAACATGAAGAGAATAAAAATTAGAAAACTAGAAAACACTAAAAGAAAATAATAATACAACCATTAAAATAGGAAATGACATGCATTGGTTTCTCATGGATACATCACTTGTGCCTAGAAAGTATCTCCTCATTACGTTTTTGGATGTGGGTGACATGCATTGGTTTCTTACTTTTGAATTTTCATTATGTTTCATTACTTTTGAATTTTTTTGAATGTTCACTACGTTTCTAATTTTTGAAATCTCATTACATTTCTAATTTTTCTAATTGTCCAAAAAAATGGAGGATATATCATGTTCTCAACTGACTGTTGATGTCAATATTGAGTTTGAGAATATTATGCGTTTGTTTTTATTTTTTGTCACAACAACCATTCCATATTTATTGGGGTTAAAAGCTTAGTATGTTTCTTGGCAGGATGTTGGCCAGATTTAGGAGATGACGAAGATTTGATGAAGTGGATTTAACTCCAACGTGAGAGTTCTGTTGGTGAATGTAATGGCCAACTTAGTATGATTTTTGGCAGGATGCTTGTAATATTGCATTGGGATACTTATAAATTTTTTTGAATATTTGTAATGTTATGGATGTATTTGTTTTGGGATATTTGTGATGTTTTTAATGCCTTTGTTTTATGTAAAATAGGTCTGAATTTTTCTTTTTTTTTTGTTATGTCATGTCAGGTTGGGTCGTGTTAGGCGGGTATGGGTCGTGTTTACTCGAACACGACCTGTGTAAATCTCGTGTCACAGGTCGTGTCGGGTTAGTCGTGTTTCGAGGAAGGTCATGTTCGTGTCTAAATTACACGACCCGGACACGGCACCACAGGACATGATTGTCACCCCTAAGTTTAACCAACTGATCCGGTCCAATTCTGATAACACTGATTGACAGACACTTCTGGGGGGAAATGCCTTCTAAGAGCAAACTTTATTAACAAATTATGAATCATAGATATGATGGACAGAAATCCAATCAAATACTAAATGACTGGAAAGTTATAGAAGTACCCGACCAACACTAATCCCCACAATACACAATGGCATTCCAACATTGATTGATGAAAAATAAAGGAATATCCCCAAATTCTTTTGTGACCAACAACCATAAAGAAGGCAAGAACTTTTCCTTATCCCAAAGACAATTCACATATTCTTCTTTCTCTTAAAAGATCTTAAGGTTCCTTTCCAACCAAAAAACTCAAATGCCTTCCGATAAAGTAGAAATACTTAAGTCATCCCCTATCTAATAACTTAAGTTTTTAGAGCATATGGTGATTTAACTTGGTATTTAGGGCGGTAAATCTTGTGTTCGAATCTCACTATCACCCTCATTATTAAAATATTTCTACAGGCTAACCCAAAAAGGACCTGTTAAAATATAAATAATTAAGTTACACCTTCTCTAACCATTTAAGCTCCACCAAAGCTCTGTAAAAAGACTCAAGTCAAATTTACTCTTTCTAGGAGGGAATGCATCTACACAAATGCATTGAGAAAAAGAATACACTCAATCACAAAGCCAATTCTGAAAGCTGCATAGGAACAAAGCTAACATAAAACAACATGATCAGAAGGCCTCTCATAGTCATCCACAAAAGCATTATTGTCGAACTATAATAAGAGGTCCATGAATTTAGTCTCCAGTAGCTGTCCTCCACCCACGAATCATGCCAAAATCTCACTCTTATTGCACACCACCAAAGAACTAATATACTTAAAAGTATTCCTCTCCTCATTTCCTAAAATTCTTTCATAGCCCAATCTATAACACACTCTAACCCAATTAAACATTAGACCTCTCCCCCCTTCTTTCTTTCTCATACCTCTAGGCTTTGACTATCCCAAAAAATAATTCATTTTCATAATTTGCAACTCTCCAAACAAAACCTCCACAAAAACTTGTGCAATAGAGCTTTTTCAAAACACAATTACTCCCATATTCCAACCCCCTTCACAATTATACTTGTGGCCTTGTGCTGTAGCAAATGTTAAGTTCCTCCCCATACCTTCCAACAAGAAAAATTCATCAAAGCTTCTCCGCCCTGTTGCCTTTTCTCGACCAGAAGAAAAAAATATGAAATACGTAAGACCACTAAAGAGGGCACTCCTAATGTGAGTCTCATTCCTTTTACTGTATCCTTCATCCTGACAACCCTCAAATCCTAGATTAATTATTCTCAAGGATCAAAAAATCGTTTCAAAACGTCCAAAATATTTTTGTTTTCAAGTAGACTGAAACGAATCAATGATGAAATCGAAATTCTAATATTTCAATACATAAACGAAATTTTGATCATTAACTATTCCCCAGAAAGACGACTCCAAAGGAAGGATACCATATGGTTTGACAATTCTCATAATCCAAATTAAAAAAAAAAAACTGATAAAGATCGAAAAGAGATTGGATAAGCTTAATTGAAGAGTTAGATTTTATTATTTGTTTTAGTATTATTTTATTAGTTAGGGCATATTTGTTTGACTAGGAAATTATTATAGAGTTTTAGTAGAGTAGGAATTTGAGAATTTGGTTATGAAACTATTTTAGAATTTTATTAGGATAATAGTTTTTATTTTGATAGGAGACTTGACCTATAAATATTGATGTATCTCTACTATTTTTATTAGAGTCATGCAATAAAAACTTGTTTATCTGTGGAGAATTTTGTGTGTTTCTTGACCTAATCCTAGGGTTTGATATCTCTTTTTCTTTCTATTTTTTTTTCTTCTTCTTCCGTCTTACATCAATTTGATATCATAGCAAAACTCCAATACATCATCCCCGTCCTTCTCTACATTTGTTCTCAAGCTCCTCATCTTTGCTTGTGAACTTTATGGTTCATCATTGTCAAGTTTTAGATTTTGCAACAAAAATCCATCTGTTTATAACCTAAATGCTGTGAAGACCAAATAGAAGGAAAAAAATAGCCTACACTTATCTAGCTCAACTCTACCCAAATATCAACCCTACCCAAGTTATACCTGGCCAATATTTTAAAAATTACACCAACACCCCCAAACCTTTCTAAAAATAGAGTTTTGACCTTGAAATTTTTTAAATTACCCTTTTACAAATTGACCCCAATAATTTTAGAAAATTTCTCAAAACTCTACTCCAATCAAGATGATGACTAATACCGAATTAAGTGCTAGAATTGAAGTACATGATTTGCACCTAGATTCACTCCAAACATCAATAGGTTTGCTCCACACATCAATGGAATATATACATGAAATTGCACACAAGTTGGTTGCCATATTTGGAGTTAAGCTCTCAAATAAGAACCTTGCGAGCAAGGTAGATATTGATACATTTTTTTCATCAATTAATCATCAAACGATGATTGATCAAACCATCATCGTCAGTTCTAACCAAATCAAAATTGTTTGATGTTGATGAACTCAAAATCAAAAAGGGATTGGATGAGCTTAATTGAAGAATAATATTATCCAAATCAAATTTGCTATCAATATTAACAAAGACCCCTTATTGGGCAGCCAACACTAGATCCTCCAAAGTCTTTCCATTTCCATTAAAGATACACCTGTTCTACCATAGGTTTATTTAGGAAGTTAAAAGAAATAGAATATTGAACTCACTTGTGTGATCACACTTAAAGCTATAATGAAATACCAAATTACAGAAGTTATTAAGTTTCATATAGAACGTTTACATGTTCCCATAAAAAAAAAGAGTATTTATTAAAAGAAAAAAGTCAAAAGTTCATATTAATTTATTAGAAATGACGTTGAAAAAAAGAAATTCAATTTTATTCTCTCTTCATAGCAGATTAAAAACAAACATAATACATACATATATAGTAGGATTGAACCTGGCACAACGCCACAATCCAGCTTCCTCAAATGCTCTAAAATCATGCCCTAATCCAGCTTCCTCAAATGCTCTAAAATCATGCCCTAATCCAGCTTCCTCAAATGCTCTAAAATCTTCAAATTATTATTAATTTTAATCACGTACCCGAATATGAAATTCAAGCCTCCGAAACTTCCTATTACCCTCAAAGTTTCTTGTGATTTGGGACTTCTTGTACAGATAAAACGGTCTTCTTTCGACAGTTTTCCCACTCTTAGTCCAGCTTTCATGTTTGCTGTCCCAATGGGGGCTTCTCATCTTCCCTCTCATTCCGCTCCTTTGTCAAAATCACTGAAACACTCTTCAAACCATTTGTCCGTATTCGTTCGCTCCTTTCTCAAAATCACGGCGTCCTCATCAAACCCAGGCCAAGAACAATAAACCTCAGGGCTATACTGTACCAAAACCCTACAAAAATCTCAACTTCAGATGCACAAATCCAGAACTTTCGCTTTGTTTCACCAAATCGGAAGATGGGTATTTGTGCTGTGAAGGCCTTAAGGTTCAAGATGTCATGAAAACTGTTGAAAGAAGTCCACTTTATATGTACAGTAAGTCTCAAATCACAAGAAATTTTGAGGTTTATAGAGAGGCTTTGGAGGGCTTGAATTCGATAATCGGGTACGCGATTAAATCTAATAATAATCTCAAGATTTTATAGCATTTGAGGAAGTTAGGTTGTGGCGCTGTGTTGGTCAGTGGTAACGAGCTTAGATTGGCCCATCGTGCCGGGTTCAATCCCACCAGGTATGTTTGTATTGTGTTTGTTTTTAATCTGCTATGAAGAGAAAACAAAATTGAATTCCTTTTTTTAAAGTCATTTCCAATAAACTAATATGAACTGTTGACCTTTTTCTTTCAATAAATTCTCTATTGTTTTATAGGAATTTGTAAATATTCTATATGAAACTTTATAACTTCTGCAATTTGGTATTACATTGTAGCTTTAAGTGTGATCCGACAAGTGAGAGCTCAATACTCTACATAAATCTGTGGTAGAACAGGTGTATCTTTAATGGAAATGGAAAGACCTTGGAGGATCTAGTGCTGGCTGCCCAAGAAGGGGTCTTTGTTAATATTGATAGTGAATTTGATTTGGATAATATCGTAGCTGCTGCAAGGATTGCTGGGAAGAAGGTTAATGCACTTCTTCGTATCAATCCAGATGTGGATCCTCAGGTGTGTAGCTGCGACACCAAATGCATGTGATGCAATAATGTAACTTTATGTGACTTTCCGTTATCGTGATATTAAGAAGGGAAGCTGCTGTGATGGGTATATTGGCATTTTGCAAATGGTTGATAACAAAAAATATGAGAAAAATCTAGTCAATAGTAATCACATTGATGGATGATTTTTGAATCTCCTAAAGTTATTAATTATTATAGGATCATCTATATTTTCATTATTGCCTTCAGTCATGTTAAATCAGAGTTAAATTGAAAAAACCATGTTAATTTCCCATGGTTTCAAGGATACATCAGCTAATGAGATACTTGGGGTGTGACATTCTTGGGAGAAAAATCATGGTGAGCATTAGAAACTAGAAAGGCTTTCTAGCAGAATTCTTTTTTTGGCTTTTACCTCATAAGTTCAGCCCAACCGGTGATCTGGAAGCATACCATTGCCGTAATCCACCGTTGTCACAACCCAGCGCCACCCCCCTCACCACCTGTTGCACATAACATAACCTACCATGTAGTTAATCGCCTTGGCATTGTACAACCATTCCCTGCTCACATGGCCCTACCCCACCTCACCCAACATAACAACCAATGGGTTCCATCACACATCCATCACCTTTGGTGTGAGGTTTCAATTCTTTGAAATAAGGAGGTCCTTGATCCAATCAATGTACTTCTTGGGCATTTGCACCTTTTTTAGTTTTGACTTCCCACGAATTTCTTGTTGGAATTATTGGATATTGTACAAAAGATTAGCAAAACATTCAAGTCTCATAGCCTTGACGTTTAATTTTTCTTTGTCTGCATGTGTATATTAGGTTCATCCTTAGGTAGCCACCGGTAACAAGAACTCCAAATTTGGTATCAGAAATGAGAAGTTGCAATGGTTTCTAGATGCTGTGAAGGCATATTCTAATGAATTGAAGCTTCTGGGGTTCCATTGTCATCTTGGTTCTACCATTACCAAGGTAATATACCAAAACACTGTTTTCTACTTTTCATTTTTCCAATCAAGTATAGAAAGATTTGTATATCAAAACAATATTCTCTACAGTTCATTTTTCTTATGCAATTGTAAAGGTAATATTTGAATTTTGCAGAATTTTGTGCCTTAGGCTGAAATTTTTGTTGTTGCATTTTTGAATGTGTATACATGCATAGAGAAGTCCCCAAGCAATATGAAATGTTATTTACTAAGAATGATTTGCCATTTTTGCATATTGTGCATGTAGTGGTTTTCCAGCACTTCATTTTTTAATTTTTTAGGGGTTTGGGGTGGATTTGATTAATATTCTTTATAATGCTGATTATCATGAACTCTAGAAGCTTGTCGATTGCTAAACTCTGATGCAGCGAGCCGTCAATTCTTGTTTGTGGACAATTCCTCGCTATCCTTTGGTCATCCTTTCATTTTTTACCCATTTTTCTTTCTTATTTTTTTCTCCTCTATATTGATTCTCCACCAGTTCATCTCTCTTTCTGAGTTTATGCATCCTTATAATTTTGATCATCAACATTCTGAAATTTTTTACTTTAATGGAATATGTATGTTTATCACAATCTTTATTCTCAATAATATAATGCTTCTTTTTTTTTGTGTGTTCTACACAAACCTAAAGGTACTATTGTTCTCTCCAGGTAGACATTTTCAAAGATGCTGCGGTAATAATGGTGAACTACATTGACCAAATTCGAGCCCAAGGCTTTGAAATTGATTACTTTAACATGGGAGGTGGTCTGGGATTGATTATTATCATACTGGAGCCATCCTTCCCAACCCCAGAGATCTTATTGACACTTTAAGAACCCTGATTTCAATTGTGGCATGTGGCACATGGTCGTATGTGAATCATGGGGCACAGCAAGTGTGGTTGTTATTCACATGCAGCTAGCCTTATTTTGCACTACCTTTGTAGGGGAGAGTTCCTTGATATATCAAGGACATCTACTAACTTTTGTGATTTCTGGAGATGTGATGTCTGATCTTCTAAAATGTTCCCAAAATAACCATACCACTTGCAATCACTACAACTTAGTACGTTTATAGAATAGTATGTTACCATAAACAGCCATCAACCGCTGTCTCTGTTATATCACTTCTTCCATATTTCCTGTTAGTAATGATATTATTACTTGATACCACCATTTGGTAACTATGAAGATCATGATGCTGAATCGCGTACAATAAACGGCTGCTATGAGTATGTCTTATTACTGGCCAATAGACTCATTGACGAATGGTAATAACCTTTTGGACATTGTGGTGCTTAATTGAAATTGTTGTGTTTCTCCGGGTTTGCTCAGCATTAACAGAAGTGCTTATATGGCTATTGAATTCTTGCCTCCTAATGGGGTATGATATTAAGAAAATCAGCAGCATTGGTACTTTGGACCATGTGAAGGTGCTATTAACATTTTTTATGGGTGTTTGCTGTAGGTCAGAGAGCTGGTGCTTTCACGTAATCTCAATCTCATCATAGAACCTGGGAGATCACGTATTGCAAATACTTGCTTCTTAGTTAATCGTGTCACTGGAGTCAAAACAAATGGAACAAAAAATTTCATTGTGATCGATGGCAGCATGTCAGAACTTATCCGCCCTAGTCTCGATGGTGCTTATCAAGTAAGTTTCTAATACCTAAGCTACTCTCTGAATTTGCCTTTGTGGATCAGATCATTGTTGTCAGACAATCCAAGCCCTGCTCCTTCTTTCTGTCATATACAAAATCAAATTTGCATCATAGACCCTCTTTTTTTAATCACTGTGGATTTTTTGTGTTGCAATTAAATGTGTGTATTGGAATAGAAGTCTAATAATTTTTCCTTGCAGTTGATCTAGTAGTCAGTAAATTACTTTTGACTAACTATTTGTGATGACTGCTACCTTAACATGTGAAGAGGCTTTTCTAGTGCAAGGCGAGATCCCATTACAATAAATTGCTCCTGTTGTGAACTGCAGGAATAGTTGTTATTATTCCCTTGCAAGTTTGTATATCTAGTCTAATTAACCCTCCCCGTTTTCTCGCACTTGTACGTAATCAGTATGTTCTTTTCATAAACTCTTTTAGCTCTTGGTCTTTGTTTGACATTTGAATGCAGCACATAGAGCTGGTTTCTCCTTCACAACCCGATGATGTGATTTCTACTTTTGATATTGTGGGTCCAGTCTGCGAGTTGGCAGATTTCTTGGGAAAGGATAGGGAACTTCCAACACCTTCAAGGGTAACATGTTGTGCTTCTTTATGGTGATAGTGTCATCCATACTCGCATATTGCACTAAACAGGAAGGATGCTTTTCAGGGTACCGGCGCTTACTGCATGAGTATGGCATCAACATTATTGGGTGTGTGATTTTGACCTTATCTTAGTTATTAAAATTTTCTTTCTATTCCTTGCCAATAGTTGCATTTGACTTGCATCATAAACAACACCATCACACCATTTCTTTACCACCTGAGCTAAGACCTAGGGGTCAATATTTTCTGCATGTATTCAGTGTTAAATAGAAAGTTATGGGCATTTGGGAGGTAATTGGCTGTTTTGTAGATGTTTTCTTGGTTTATTGAAACCCTTTCTAATCTTGAAATTTTAAGTTGTTTTGAGACCTCTCTCTATAAATAGTTGCATAGATGGCCTTGGACTTATTTATTGGAGTCAATGAGTTTAGAGCACTGCTTTTATTTCATTCTTACATTTGTTGGGCACATGGTTCTAATGCAATTTGTCTGCTTTCTTATGAACATGTTTGGGTATTTATTGTCTAGAATGAGCACTCACTTGTTATCTTTCTTTTATGCCATATCACAATGTCTTTCTTTGTTCAATTTGGCTTGCCTAATAAATTATAATCAGCATAATCAAATTCTCAGTTTGTCCTTTTGAACCATTTTTCTTAAGGAAGTAAGTGCTGAGTATTTGAATTGATGTTTTTAGGTTGAAGAAGATGGATCAATCTCAAAAATCCGCCATGGGGAAACATTGGAAGACCATATGAGATTCTTTGAGGGTCTTTAGTTTATAAAATGTTGCAGACTTTTCCCATTGTTGCCATGCCAGGGTTCTAGGCTAGGACTCTTTGCTTTTAATTGATGCACAGCTGGTATCTGTCTGCCTGGATATTGTGTATCCGAATGTCTTTTGATGTCTGAATTATGTATTATCCATTTTACTATCAAGTTATGATTTATTTCTCCCGAGGGAATTCAAAAAACAAATAGACAGAATTGGTGATGATGAAGCTGCCGCAGGTTTAAATGAGTGTGTTCATGAGCTTTTTGACGTATTTGTAGAGTTACAATCACTTTGGAGATAGGGGCGAGCAGCGAGCAAGCAGCAAGCAGCCCTTATATAGGGTTCCAAACCTGCGCCTTCACAAGCGACCCACCCAGACCCCTTGTACCATGCAGTCAGTGTTTGGGGCTCCCGGTCATAAAGAACTGCTGCTGTAGCTAGTGGTTGATACTTCTTCAGTCTAAGTCCTTCAGCATGTGATAGCGGGCGGACATTCAAAATCTGCATTGTAAGCATGAGTTTAAAGAATGTTTGATTAGAATGATTTTTCATTTTGAAAGAACCTCCACATGATTGCACGTCCTGCCCACCGGTAATAACTTCAATATCAAATTGAAAGGCTTGAAACACTCTTATGTTATTTCTTAAAATCTGTTTTCTACAGAAACAAAAATTTAGCATCTTGGCAGATTAGAAAAATCTAAAGGTATTTGTGTTTGACTTTGTGTATGTATTACGCAGTCAAATATCAGATTCAATTCTAAGCTTCATTGTATCTTGGAGGCAGATTTGTTGTAACCTGTTGCACACCTTTTTATTAGAATTGATAGAGGTGAATATTGTCTTAAGGAAAGTAACTCGGTAACACGCATATTGTTGTCATCTTCTTCATCACATAATTTCTAACACTAACTTCAATCTTACAACAATGCTTGGTACAGCTGAAACAAAGACATTTTTTTTAGCGCATTTGAATTTTATCAAAGAAGGGCATATACAGAGGAGGCAAGGGAAGGGATCATATGCCTCTACAGTTGTTAACTGGTGTTTAATATCATTGTGTTCCACCAATTCATTTATCCCACTCTAAATAACTGGGACAAAGCTTGATTGAGTTCAAGCAAATTGCTTAGTATGAAACAACAAAACCAGTCCCTTTGTCCATCATAGCACTTCTCTGTGTGAGATCAGATCTTAGGTTTGCAACATTCTCAAACTCAAGAATGAGATGTTCAAAGATCGACTTACTGTTAAGCACGGGTCACCAAGTTGGAGTTTCTTTGAGGGGCGAAAAAACGCAAAAAAAAGTGCAAGTTGGAAATCCCACAATAGGAAAGTCTACCTGTCTACCAAATAATGAAAGGATCTGAAGGCTAAAGGATGATGTAGAATCATTTATTTCAACCACCCCCTCTAGATTTATAGAACTCCTAATTTTCTCATCATCACCACAATGTTATCTCCAATGGTGAATCTCTTGGGTGGAGTCTACAGCTCCAAATTCTTCCTCTGTTTGCTCTGGGAACACGCTTGGATACCACACGTTGTTCGTTGGTGGAAGCATCGTCACATTTCCATGAGAATATTGAGAAGGCAGCCAACAAGCGGGAGTCGGGCAAGGTAGTCCACCATCTAGTCCTAAAGGCTCAGTAGTATCCAACATCAGCTGATCATTGGTGAGTCTTACATGTTGATATTCCAAGTGATTTGTGCCATCCTCATTTCTGTGGTTCAACCCAACCACTGTTTTATCACCAGAGAATACGTTTTGGGGGTAATCTTGCAAATGGTTTTGAACTAGTATTCCACTGCTTGGAGTACTATACATTCCTGTTGCTTCCCCCTGGTTCAATAGATTATAACCCTGACAATAAAAAGCTGGATTGGAATGTGCACTCAAATCAATAGATGTTGATCCTCGAATCTGAGCTCCCTTCGGAAAATTGTTGATAATGTTGATTCCTCCTTGAGTATCCCCAAATCCTGTACTTTGATTCCCAAACGTGTAATTGCTGGCTTTCTTATCCAGTCGGTGAAAGTCCATAACTATAAAACCCGTAACAGATAGAAAATAATCTACTCTGTATTTTTAGAATAGAGAACAGAAGTGAAAACAAGAAATCATATATACCTGACATTGGTGAATCTGAATCTATGACACCGAGATCCGCTGGCATTGCCCTGAACTTGTCTAGTTGATGCTGATCCGGAACTAAATGTGAAGCAAAATTCGCGAAAGGATATTGCAGACCAAGTCCTGCAGGAGCAACCACTGGAGTGCATCCATTGAACTCCAAAGGGAAGTCCGTAAATCCAAAGGTATTTGAGGTGAAGTAAGGAGATTCCTGACTTGGGAAAGGTCTTTGGCTCAACATTAGTAGCTTCTGGTCACATTGCAAAAGCTTCTCATAGGGCTTATCAAGGGCCCCAGGAGGGAAGATAGCGCAGTGCCTCCTACAAAAAAGTCATTGCAAGCAACATGAAAGCAGCAAGATCAGATTTCAAGGTAGTGATGCTAGCAGATTAATGGCCAAAACTACTTCACCAATAAACTGCAATTTTTTCTTGGATTAATAACCTCTAGTGTAACGACTTTGTTTTCCTTAAAAAAATTTGCTAAGAATGACAATGGTGTTAAAACAAAACCAAAACCGAGTAATCTGTGAACACTTCTAGTCCAGATGCTACGATTCACAAAATTGAAGGATACAACAAAGAAAACAATCTTGAAACCTGTAAATGGGAGCTTGACCACCAGTAAAATCTAATGATGTTTGCCAAATGGTGTGCTTCCGTGGCTGGGGATTAGTCTCTTGAAAAAACAAGGGTGGTTGGTTCAACTGCGTGACATCCACCACTTCAAATTAACATTCCATTGCTATTTAAGCCCGACAATTATCAAATCATCAGATCATAGAAACAAAATTTCTCAAAAAAGGTAAAAGGGTCAACCTCAATTTCCAAAATACCCGGTTGGTTAGCACCAATAGTAGCTTTAATCGCCGAAATGTCAGCCCATTGGATTTCAATCTTACTCTTCAATGCACCTTCCAAAACTTCCCACACCAATTTCCTTTTAGCATAGTAACATTTAGCTATCAAATCACCTTCATGCCTGGAAATTCTCTGCTCAAATTTCAATCGACTATGTTATAAAAGCATTTTCATTCATCAGGTATTTTCTGGGATACAATCCAATAAAAAAAATTCACAGCATAAGTTTGTAATTTTGACCTCCCAAGAGCCAATCTTAAGTGACGATGCAGGGAAGTTTGAAGCCTTAAGCTTCTCAGATATTGGCTGAGATGAAAAATCATCCGTCTTTGCTTGTGGCTTGTCATTGTTCATCAAGACTGTTTTCCTTGCTTGGGATAACTCCATCTCTATTAAATCAACAAATGATGGTGTCTTTCTCAATTTCAATCCAAGAGGACTCCTCCGTTCACATAAGTTGATTTTCTCTTCCTAAAAAAGGCAAAAGGAAAGATATATAAAGCTAAAACCACGTATCAACGCATTCAAACGTCTAAAACGTTGCAAAAAGAAAACAAAAAAGATACTCCAACCCACAGCGCAACTAAGAATTTTTAGTAGTTAGTATAACTTAAAACTCATTAATAAACTAAAATATAATGTTAATATTTGTTCTTGCGAAAATATTTTTTTTATTTAAAGTTTCATAAAAAAATTTATAAATTGAAAATGCTACCCGAATAATCAATCAAAAGAATCTTATCCTGCACAAGCCAACTTTAAAATTCCAAAAATATAAATTCACTTCTAAATTGGATGAGGATCGTGTGAGATTGGGTCATACGAGAGATTGTTGAGTCCCATTATTTAATTTGTGAAAGAAGCCCACCAATTTTTTAAAACATCAAAGTATCGCTAATTTTTTTTTGAATACAATTTTCAGTGGAATCAAACTCCAAATAATTTTGAAATTCTCACAATATTAAATATACATAAAAAAAATTCAAAATTGCAGTGGGGCATCCCCTCCCCCAACAAAAAAAAAAGGAAAAAGAAAAAACCAGAAAATCGCCCTCGACTCCAATTCGCATGCATGAATCAATGGAACAGTTATTCAATCTGAAAAGAAGAAAAATAGGAAACCTGAGAAAAACCTTGTGTGTGCGAGAGAGAGAGAGAGAGAGAGAGAGAGAGAGAGAGAGAGAGAGTGGCTCTGCAGACACATACACTGAAAACACATATCAAGATTCGTAAACTACATGCAGAATTAAGAAACGATTACGAAATGCAACAATAAGAACCAATCAACCACCTATGCATGCGTACAAGAATCAAAATCCAATTCTTGGAAGAACCAAAACTGGACTGAGAAGCTCAAAACCTGTAGATTGAACTCTGGTGAGAGTCTGATCCTCTTAGAGGTACCTTCTTCTGAGCTCTGATACCCATAACCAGCATTGTTCATTGAATCCGGATAGTCAGACGGCGGAGGGTTCGGAAACTCCTCCGAAACAGAGAATCCATCATCATTAATGCCATTCAAGAGCATACTCTCATCAGACCCAAGTCCCTGAACCATGATGTTATTGAATCTTGTTGCTCCTTCTCTCTCAACTAAAATTCTTCAAAAAATCCGATTCAGTTCAGTTAAGATTAATCCAACTCTCTCTCTCTCTCTCTCTCCCCCTCTCCCTCTCCCTCTCCCTCTGCAGTCGGAAGCGGAGTTCAGACTTCAGAGAGAAAAAGAAGAAAAAAAAGAAATATAGTGTGAAGAAGGTGACTTCTTTTTGACAAATAGACCAGTCATACAGTGGTTGCTAGCGTTTAGGACTGTTTTGACTTGCTGAGAATCTTTAACGATTTTGTAGGGATTGTTTCATTTGGCGGTAAATGGCTTACACTACCATTGGTTCTTACATTGTGTTAGTTACTAGCAACTCTCTCTCTCTCTCTCTCTCTCTCTAAATCTAAATCTAAATCTAAACCCCCCCCTTTTCCCACGTTATTTTTTGAGCTTGTTCGGCATTTAAATTTTGAATAACTTTATGAGTAATGTTAAATGAATTTAAAAAAATAATTGATACAGGTGAAATGGACCAATAGAATTAATGTGACTCTACTAGTTGGACATATTTTTTAGAATTTTATCACTTGATTCGTTATTATGTAAATAAATTAAATTAAATTTTTAAGTTTTAATAACATTATTATTAAATTTTTAGGGTGGAGTTATTCTCACCCCCCATAAATGTTAATTCTCACCATATTTAATCCATGAACAAACATATACTCACCCCATTAATATATATATTTGCATTCAGATTGTTTTAAAAAGTGACAATAAATACTATTTACAATAGAAAACTTGTTTTATTTGGCAAGCTCATGTCGGTTGTGAATTAGAACGCGTGTTTTGTTTTCATTTTTCCAACGACAAATTTCTTCTTTTGTTTTATTGATTTTTTTTTCTTGTTTTCTTTTGAGTTTTGATAATTTTTTTTCTTGTATTTTTTATTACTTATTAAAGGGATTTTTATAGCCCAGGGTAGACTTAGTTACTAATGGATGAATATATAAAAGGTGAATTTAGTAGTTTTATAATAAAAAATTAAATGAGATAAAAATAAATATTTTTGGAGTGTAAATAGCCTCACCTAAATTTTTATTACTGTTTTTATCCAAACAAGGCTGGTGCAAATATAATGCCACTAAAATAGAGACTTTAGACCTCAACCAAAAAAGGGACCTTAAATATATAGGTCTAAAAGATAGTCTATAACATATATAAATTCAAAAATCCAACAAAAGACTCAATTAAAATTTCAGCCAACAAAAAAAATAAAATAATTTTAGTTAAATGATTTGAACCCAACTGCCCAGTCCAATTACACACACAATTAAATTTGTTAAAAAAGTAATAAGGCTGAAAAAGTGTTGTCCAGTAGGAATCACTAGTCATTCTCTCTCACCCTCATACCTTTTCTCTCTCTACTTACGCTTTTGTCATCATCTAAAATTAAAATATCAATCAAACTAATTTTTTTTTTCCATATCCTCTCCTGTCCAATCACAAAATAATTTTTTTTAATTATTACAAGTACAAAACTTTTATAAATGACAAAAGATAAAAAATAATAATATGCTGATTTTCTCTATTTTTTTTTCTAATAGGTAAAGTTAGGGGTGGGTCATGACAATAAATTAAAATTTATTATTTTATAATTTTAATTTTTTAATTCCAAGCTCTTATTATTTTTCTTATATATAATTTTTTGGTTGATTTGTAAATATGACAATTAGAAAACAAACATTTGTTAAGAAAAAAAAAAGGAAAAAGAGAATATTTTAAAAATATTTAATTTTTTTTAAAAAAAATCTTATTAATATATTTGTTACTGACAACAAACACAACATTAAAAAAAAAAGGTTACAATTAAGTAAATCAACAAAAATAGATCTTATAAAATAAGAAAGATTAGGTGGATTAGTCATGATCAATTGAAAAAATGCATATAAAACTTGAGTGCAAAACTAAACTAATAATTATCGTTTCAAAAAATGAAAAATTTTTAAGTTAATATTAAAAAATAAAAAAGACTTCATTTTGAGTCATCGTTATATGCCTCAAAGTGTATCGATGCCTAAATTACGAAAAAAAATTATGTGGCACCATCTTGCAACATTGAACATTTTAGTTATGGTATCACGTTGTAATGGTCCAAACAAAGTTTTTGACATATTCAAATAAAATGCGTAAAATATGGATTCGTATAAATATTATCTTTAATCCATGCGTGTCATCAAATGATCAATTTTATCTCGTATAATCAATTCCATGAATGAGGACATGACAATGAGGGACGTACAAGCACATCGACCGTTGAGAGATGTGTAGACATTTCAATCATTTGAATGGGAGGAGGCACAACAGGGCTAAATAGGATTCCAATTAAATTTTTACCCCTTAGTTTAGCTCCATGTTCTGAGTGCCTTTTAATGGACCAAGTTTAGATGTCTAATGAAATCACAAGTATATGTAAAGCCTTCTACAAATGCCTAAAATTTTATAAAACCTTCTAAAAAAAGTATAAAAAGTAATGACTTTCAGCCTTAAATGTTGTAGCATGTGACATATTCATTTCATTTTCTTCTCCTCACTCTCACCGCATTGCTCTAAGTCTTTCTTTTCCTCCCAACTTCACTGCCTTGCTCTAGTTCTTTGTCTTTATCTCTAACTTTCTTCTGACTCAAATTAATTTATTCCTCTGTACGATCCAAACTTCACAATTTACACCAATTTTATTGTCTGATCCCGTCTAATTCGAAAACTACTGAAAAGTTAGAAGTAAATATCACCACAACTCTTTGCAAAATGTCTAATAATCACATAATATATTTTATATTATCATCCTAAAAATTGATATGGGTCTCATGTGTAATTCTCATTTTAAGTCCCATCTATATTGGGCCACCCTTATATCTAAGAATTTTTTAGCATAAGATATGATTTGCTCATTTTCATTTTAGGTCCCACAATCAAAGAATTAGGTATAAAATGTTGGATTTAGATCCTCTACCAGCCGGAATATTTTGTTACAGAAATCAACCATTGTTAAATTAATTGAGGCACACTAGATTTTAGTAGAACCCATAAAATCCCATGAAGCCCTATTGGTCTGATGATAGACGACTGGAATCAATCGAAATTAGTAGAATTTGAGTTTGAGGGGACTCGAATATTTTATCATTACACATGCCCTTAATATATGAGAGGGCAATGTAAATATAATCATTATGATTGGAAAATAATAGTTTGAATTTTTTATTAACTGAAAGAAGTTTAGACTCAGAAATGACTTGGCAGTGGAGACAAAACTACAAGTAGTACGCAACCCTATCAATAAACATTAATACCTGTTTTTATTACTTAACAAGTTTTTGTCAACATGTCACCCTTTTTTGGACTTGGACGCCAATAGATATTTTTGCACATTTTGTGCTAGAGAGTTTGACTTTTTATTGAATTACGAATGTATATTTGTTGGGGTAAATTTCAAAAACATATATATTGATACAAACAAATAAGAATGTCTGATTTCTTATTCTAGAGGAAATTTAACTGCTTATAAATCTTATTTTTCACTACTTATTCTAGGGTGAGCAGTGTTACTTGAGCCTAATTTTATGATCTTATTTGCTGACTTAATACATTATAGTAATTGGATTGACAGTAAGCCCTAATATTAATAGGAATTCACTATCAATTCGATACTTGTTATAGTAGGTTAGGTCCAAAAACTATTTTCCTTCTAACATTGCCAATCAAGTTTCCCAACGATTTGGTGCATTTATGATGTGGATCGTGAGCATTATTCCTTAATTTGAGATCATCAGAATAGTCTTCTTCTCTTATAATCAAAGACTATAAAAATCGCTTCAGAAGAATCAACCACCATTATTGGAATTAGTAACTTGTAGAATCTAATGTCTATAACTATAGTCACATCTATACTAGATCATTGAATAACACTGAAATACTCTTATTAAAGCACTTAATAAAAGTATTTTCAAGTAATCACTCAAAGGATAAGAATATTGCTTCTCATCTATTAATGTATGTACTATCCCTTAATAACACATAAAGATATGAATATATTTAAATGTTGAGATTATCAAGTCTAGTTTTTAAATCTATTTTTTAAGTTTATGTAACATTGCTCTTTGAATAATCATGTTGACTTTCTCTACTATTTAAAAGTTAGTAATAATATTTTCGTTTTGGCACAAAACACAATTGTGCTAGATGGCATCAACAAACAACACTCTTGTAAATGCCAAAATACCCTTTAAAAGTATTAAATAGATTATTATTCCCTACAATACTTACTGAGTGACTATTATTGTCATGCTCCATTATTTACAAATACGCATAAACTAGTTGTTACCATGTAAATATCAAAAATTAAAACCAAAATCAATCACCATTCATCTTCTAACTAAACAGAAGTTTCAAAGTAACATAATTCACTCTTCGAAGGTTACATCCCAAACGTTAATATTCAATAAAACATTAAATAAAAACCATTATCTCAAATAGCTAAAAGGAAAACATAAACATTAATTCCATCATCCACAACTTTAAAAATTAAAGCAAATAACATAAATTCACACCTCTAAAGCTGGATCCACATCTTGATTTGCTTCAATCTCATAGTCCTCATGCTCACCTAAGATAGTATCCTTTTCAATACCAAAATCTAAAAAAGGTAAGGAAGGGGTGAGCAGAACAAACTAGTAGAAACATTTTTTTTTCAAACCTAAACAAGGTTTGGAAATACATAAAGCAAGTAGGTCTCAATTAAAAAAAAAACCTGTGATATTGTAACAATATCAGATTTACGATACATGAACAGTAAATTCATAACATAGTAAAATCATTCAGAACTCCTTAGCTTTTATCAACAATATATCTCAAGTAAGCAGGTTAACTAGAATGAATCCACACATCGAATATATTTGGTCCACAAAATTTCACCTTCTCAATAAATCCTCGTAGGGCAACAAAGTTTTAGTAATAGT